GTTTTTCTTCCGCATTTAAAGGGACCCTGATATATTGCCCTTCATAATCTAATTTGCTATATTCCTGTGGTAGCTGTTTCGTTATATCTGCATGTTATAACGAATTGCCAAATTCGAACATTGGAAAATACATGCTCTGCTTCGAGCAACGCATATTATGCTATTACTTCATTTGTATTAAAAATCCTATAACTGTTTCTGGCTCGCACTTTCATTTCATCATCTAGCATAGGGCTGTTCTCGAAAAGCCACTCGCAAACGTTGTCACTTACAGTATACGTATGTGTTCTATGTTCCTAAACCTTCGCACGAGCGTTTTAAAAATCTTTCCAATCATTTCACTCGTTTACAGATCTTTGTCAAGAGTGCGCAATACTATTAAAATAGTAAACTTTACGCTACTCGAAGTAGCTCTATTATCTTGCCACTTCATTTACCTGCATGCAATGAACCGATATTTAATGAACTTACTGGAGGCCACATCCTTCGATCGACCTGAACGCTTTTCAGCTTATGTGGCGAACTGAATTTGACGGTGAGCCAAGTGGATTGCCGACTTCAGCAAGATATGTATATATATATATATATATATATATATATATATATATATATATATATATATATATATATATATATATATATATATATATATTCTGGATTCTTTGAACGTCATTCGGACACCGACGCATTTATGTAAGCGAAGAAGGGACGACAAAACTTTAGCGAAAGCGTCTTTACTGAACATTTTCTGCCCCTGCACCAGCCTTCGTCAGAGTGATTCTCTGATGAAGGCTGACCCATGTTCTGAAAACTTTCAGTAAAGACTTGTTAGTGAAGCTTGCGCCATCTGTTCATTGCATGAGTATAGTGGGAATCAAACCCATGACATACCGCAGCCGTGGTCTCGAGGTAGAGCGCTGTTTCGGCTACGGTAGGTCATGGGTTTGATTCCCTCTGCTGGCGGGTACCCACCGCTTCCTTAATGGGAGCAATACAACCCTGGCCTGCCGCTCGGCTTTAATTCAGGAGTGTTGCGATTGGGAAAGGAGCCCGTGCCTTCAAAATCCCGTCCACGAAGTCTTCGTGAGCAACCGTTCACATGGCGGCTCTGCGCGCCAGTAAACGTGCGAGCATAGGCCGAACCACAGAGAAAGAATTCTTGCTCCGTGGGCCAAACCAACTAATTTCCTCTTCCTCTACCTTCGTCTCAAATCTTGGCCCGGTTCATACGATATATATATATATATATATATATATATATATATATATATATATATATATATATATATATATATATATATATATATATATATATATATATATATATATATATATATATATATATATATATATATATATATATATGGTGCGGATTAGCCTCCGCGTCGGATTAGCCTCCGACGCGGATTAGCCTCCGCGTCGACTCAAGTGAATGCACAAGAGGGCTCCTGTTAGGTTTCTGAATGCTTCCAGCTGCGGTTGATGACAAACCAATAAATCCTCAACAAAGAGAGAGGAGGGAGATAATCATAGTGTCCTCCTTATTTGTTCGCCTCTCGGTGGTACAGTGGTTACAGTGCTCGTTTTCTGACCAGAAAAAAGCGGGTTCAATCCAAGCCATGGTGGTCGCATTTCGATGAAGGCAAAATCCCAGAGGCGAATGAACTGTGCGATGTTAGGGCACTCTAAAGAACACCAGATGGTTGAAATTACCGAAGCCCTTCACAGCGTCTCTAATAATTATATCGTGGTTTTTGCACATACAATCCCATGTACTAATATTGTTTTCCATATTTCCAAGTCCCGATCCGTGAGTCTTAACAAGGATTGAATAGATAATAGCAAGAACATCGGTTCGTTTTCAACTGCGAAGCAGTGTATACCTTGGGTGCAACTCTGCGCTCTCTTTGTTTGCTTATGTTCACCAAGAATAAAAGGTCGGCTTCGACTTTTACCGACATGTCTTAGTTCCGTGCGATCGATAGCCCTATGTAAACATGAAGCTCGCTGTCGTAATCGAGTGTTATCCTCTTCGCGGCAACTCTGTGGGATCACCTGAGAACACACGACCTGTGGCATAGTCCCAGCGGACATGGGCCTGTATGTGTTGCTGTTTCTGTGCCGACATTCCTGCTCTATACTTCGATCTGTCGCCCAAGCGGAAACTGCAGCCGTAATGGGATCTGTCCTTTCCGCAAATAGCGCGGCCTCTGACTAGAAAAACGACACTGTTGAGCCTGGAAGAGACGCACGCTCTTACGGCACACAACAAGATCGATAGATCTTGTTGTGCTTGGTAGCGACGTGCGTCATATATCAGCCTCCGGCCTTCGTATTATGGAAGCATGCTGCTTGATCAGGTGTTTGTCTTAGGCCTTGTTTACCGCTTCCACTCGCTTTCGGAACATGGCTGTTGTGCGGGTGGCGCTATCTATCGACCCGGGGATACGACCGAACATAAAAAAAAAGAAACGAGGCTTTTTTTAGCGTGTCTTAACTAGCTCGAGCGTTTGCCACGCACACCTCTTACTAGTTATTAACGCAAGGCACAGAATACCATGGCAGTGGATTTCCGCTCTCTGGCGTCGCTTGGTTTCGTTGCACGTTGTTTACGGGGACCTGTTTCTGGGTTTTCTGAACGCAGAGCGCTCTCCTCTGGCGTAGCTTGTTTGTTGGTTGCGGGTATGATGGATCGCACGTCTGCGTGTCTTATAGCAGGTAACTGAAAATTGTCTCGTGTTTCGATGGCAGCACGACTTATGTTTCGAGAGAGGAAGAAAAAAAGCCACGCGCAAAATTTTGCACGGTGCATAACCTATTCGGGTGAGGCATAAATACAGCGCTTCAGTTTGTCGAGCTAGACTTATACAAAATATTGCAGCAGATGGGCCGTGGATAGAGTTGTTCAGCAACGCATACCCGCAGCTGCGTTATTCTGTGTGGTGTTTATATATATATATATATATATATATATATATATATATATATATATATATATATATATATATATATATATATATATATATATATATATATATATATATATATATATATATATATATATATATATATATATATATATATATATACAGTACAGTAGATCCTCCGTGAGCGGTCACAACGTGGTTTATTTCGACGTTTCGGCCTAGAGTCTGGCCTTTATCAGGATATATATATATTTTTTGTCTATCTCGTAAAGTCTGGAACGCTATTGGCGAATAAGCAGGCTTGGTAGGCAAGTCATACCTCCTGAATTTGCGTCACGAAGCTTCGAGAATGATGTAAATGCCAAACGCGTGTCCAGTTTTCTCTGCCGGACACGACGCATTGAACAAGAGCTGTTGCTGGAACTTGTCTGTCCTGTATAGATAAATAAAAAAAGACAACCTCATAAAGACAGAGGCAAGCTATATGCAGGGAGGTTAACCAGATTGCACCCGATATGCTACCATACGGGGGAGGGGAAGAAAACGGGAGGGAAAGAGTGGAGCAGGGAAGTAAAGATGGGGCAAGTAATACCCTTGCACGCACAGAAGCATTAACCAGTCACGCTTTGAAGGTCATGAAACTGCGAACTGTCACACAGAATTGGTCGGCTTCGGCTGTTTTTGATGAAGTATATATTGTAATCCATGATGTTAAAGATGGTTTGCAAGGATTGGCTCTAAGCTATCCAGAACCTGCAGTGTGCTTCGCGCTGATGGGGTTGGTGATTCGGTGAAGAGTGTCCGTATTGTGCCTGTCAATGACCTCAACACAGCGATGACATGCATGTCATGGAGAACCTTAGTGGAATCTTGTGTCGTCTCTCTGGGGACGCGCAATGGTGGTAAAGATAGCCACGTGACGTGTCGTTGCCTTCCTGCCCACAGTGTTTTTGCTTTCCGAATGTATACGGCATTGGTTGGTGGTAGTGGTGGCGGAGGCAGTGGTGCTAGCTGTTAGGGAGGAGAAGTCCGGGGGTCTGCTTGATTGGGACACTGCGTCATTGGTTCAGATAGGGCGTCAGTATTCGCAGACATTATTACCGAACCAGTGATCATATGGCATCCAATTTCTCTACCTTACCTACTTCAGTGAGATCTATTAAAAGATTGTGCTGCAAGCAGCACTGATTGTAGTGCTTTCCAACAACGTGGTAGCATTTCTCGCCGTCTCTAACAGTCTTCCCGCTAGCTTGTACTATGTGTGTTGTATGTTCTGCACATGTGGACCCACAAACCAGACAAAAAAAAAACGTTGTCTCGTAGAACAACAAAGAGTTTCCTGAATAGGTGTACAACGTAGTGGAAGTCACGCTTACAAGAAATCATCATTTACGAAATCATGTGTGCACGTATAAACTTCCCTGGACTAACTTTTCAGATTATATAGTGATATACACAAAACGCAGGTGTGATTTGTAAAGCAATGAACCTACATGCACACTTGTACGCTCGCACGCCCGGTGAAAAGGTTACCTATAGCCACATTACAGATCACTCGCTAGCTGTACGAGTCTTGCGTATCCTGCTTGCGATGGATTATGCTTTGCAAAGTACGGGTCTACTTTTACATGTTCGTTAAGATAGGCCTTAAGTGTCGTATCATTGCTCGAAAGCTTTCAGAAGTTCTACTTGTGACACTAACGACCTCTGGCGGATCAGGAAGCTTTGCCTACAGGGATTGCACCGTCCGTGCTGCTAGCGCTCTACCATGCAATGCTTCTTGTTATTGCAACCAAGGATGTATAATGGTCATAAACCTTAAGCATCGTTCTCAACAGCAGCTCACATGCTGGGTTAGGCTTTACGCACAATAACACGTGCGCATTCTGTAGCGACATTTATGGCGACGCCGAATTAGTATATAGCATTTTTTGGTACAGAGTGCTCGAGTTGCCTTGCAGTTCACGCGGTGAATGACACAGCATGACGCGCGCACCAGCACAAAATTGTACAGTGCAGCACATTAACGCTGACAGGCTGAAACAACGACGCTGTTGTCATTTATTTTCGCAGGTTCCACAGAACGCCAAGCCGGGGAAATACCAGATGCGCGTCGAAGGTAACGTCAATGGCGTGTTGGGTGGCACCGGTTTCCTTCAAGAACAAGAAGTTGAATTCCAAGCCCAATTTCTCACCATCCTCATCCAGACGAACCAGTTTGTCTACAACTTCGAACAGTCCAGTAAGTTGATAATCCGCCAAAACGTCATATTTTTCTGCATTTTGAAAATGAGTGGTTTACAGTGTGGCCAAACTTTTGTGTTTTCATGGTGAAATTAGGATTTATCTTCGCAGTTCTCATTATCGCTTTGAAAAATCACTGCAACAACTTTATACGCTTGTTTATATATGCTGTGACTGTCACATTTTTTAAAAAGTAGATTAATGAAAGCAACGAAATAATGAATGACAAAACCTCATCCATAGACTACATGTGTATGGTATTTAGTGGAGGCATATATACCTTCCTGCGCTTTATGACATGAACAAAAAAAAACAGAAAAGAGTTCCATTTTCTCAAAAGTATAAGCATCCAAGATTTTTCACAACTGCCGAAGTTCGTAAATTTGCACACAGCGTCCCTCAACAGAGAAAGTTCTGCCTTATTCTTCCCTCGCACATTCACAGCGTACAAAGATATAGGAGTGAGGGCTACCACTGGAGAGGCCAGCGCTGTTGTCGCTGTGACATAATAAACGACATTACGTGACTCGCATATGCCATTGTCAGTGCAGCATGCTTACTTTCAACCTCGAGTCAGTACATTTTCTAACCTACAGGTTTTTTTGTACGCTCGTTGCCGCAGTACTGGATGCACTTGATTAAGCCTTAATGTGAATGAGCCTTTCGAAAGCGTCGTGGCACCGATACTCTTGACTGATAAAGCTGAAATTGGCGAAACAACTCAGTATTCATCCTCAGGTGTGCAGCTCCCCCAGCGGCCACTTTCTTTCTTTCTTCTTTTTTTGAGCGTCTGTGCATCTGCAAAGACGAGTCCGAAATGGAAGATAAAATGTTCGGTATAAATTTATGACGGCGTACTTAACGAATCTGTAGACATAGGAAGTTATTGCCTTTATTTTTGCACCAGGCTGCAAAAAAAAAAAAAACATTCTCGAAGCGTGGAATCACAGCAACCGTTTGTTCGGACCTTGTATGATTAAAGGAACGCATGATGTGGTATCTACTTCTCATTCTGGTGTGCATACGCTAAAATATTATGAATACGCTAAAATATTCGTGAATACGCTAAAATATTAGTCAGCGGAATGCATGTTCGATAAAGCCGAGAATCAGAAAACAACCCAGCACTGATTATTGTGTGTGCGGCAAGAACTTTCGCCAAAATATTTTGTGTACTGCGCTATGGTGAATATCTGGTGAGTACGACGTGAGACTTTCCGGGAATGTACACAAGAATTTGCGACATTTATTTACACCATGCAGGCCGACAGGCCTTTTACACATGTCTGCAGCTTAGGGCAGCAAGAGTGATTTTGTCTTGGTGCGTTGATTTTGATGAATAATTATGCGTTGCATATTCGGACATATTTGAGAAGCCGTGATGTGCCGAGCTGCAGGTTAATAAATGTATGGATGCGAGAGGCCAGCAGAGTCACTGAAAACAACGGGAATTGTAATTAGTAGAAAAAAAAACTTTCCACGTTTTTTTTTTCTTCTTGGGATTCCGACAGAAATTGGAAATCGCACTCTGGTTTAGTGCGTATGTTTCTGAACACTTCTAATTGTTTGCAGTTAAGGCAAGAATTGTGCTCCTTACGACCGAACTGAAGCCATATGCGGAGCCGGTGGATGTGTACCTCACGGTAAGTGCGAGATTACGTTGCAAGCCACTGACATCTTTAATCGTTATGCTAATTAAACAATTGATCCGACCATTTGAGCAACACGCCAAGTATGCTGCCGCATAGTATTAAGAGCGTGCACCGTTATCATGTGTTTGTTTGTCGCACCCTTCTTTACTCCAAGTTTAATTACTAATGTTCCAAAAGCCGTTATAACTACAGGTATTCTGGGTGTGTCTGTCTTAAAATGAAGCTCCTCAGCAGTGCCGTGCTGCACAGTGTGAAAAACATGTAGTCTGAGCATTTTTTTACACTCTTCGCATCCAGAGTGTCAAACTATTCACTATACTCACCATGTTTTGGTTGAAAATGAAGGAAAAAAATCAGTTTTTTTAAACTGAGACAAAATGTGACTAGAAAGCCGTCCAATGGCGAGTCTTACATCTTTATAGCTACTAAAATATGTTTTTGAACTCTTCCTGATATCTTTCTAGGATTCTCGGGGAATCGTGATGAAGCGGTGGCTGTCTCAGTACCCATACCTAGGTAAGTCTCGCAAGAATTTTTACAGCGAAAACTGTTATGAGAGCAAAACTCGGCCCACGCACGGCGCCGTAGTTGTCCGCCGCTGCCGGTGTCTGTAACCAATATCGTAAAATACGAAAAAAAAAAGCCTAGTACCAAGGACACAGTGGGGCTCTAACCCGGATCCGCTGGGTGCCAGTCCAGTATTCTACCACTGAGCTACGGCGGTGCTTGGGACTTGTTCTAATATTTGCCTTAGTCAGGCTTGATGTCGGGAAAAAACTCGCGTTATTATGAGTAATAAATCGTTTTAAAACAACAAAAGAATAACGAGGTATCACACAATGCGAATAGCGTAACGAGTGGGTCGTGCAATCCTCCAACACATTAGAAAGCCTTATTTTTCATCACATATTAACTGTGGCGCATACCCGTATGCTTCAGGCATAATTCCTCGTCGTCATCAGCCACTGCATAGACAATTGGCACAAAATTCCTTGCAAGTGTTTAGCGGATACAAGGCTTCTCAAAAGAATGACGAAAAAGATCATAACGAGTGCAGGTCCACCACCCAGAAATTATTGTTATTAATGCCGTTGTAGGTACCAAGCAAGCGTGCTTGCAGCAGTTACCCAATGAGTGTTTAGAAAAGCTTTGAAAGGCCGCTTTTATAGCTTTCGCTGTGACTTTGCTGCGCCTTCTGCGCAGGCCTGGCGTTTTTTCATACATTGAATTTTGTCATGAAAGTGTGCATTTTCACGTGTTGATGCTTACCTAAAGACAGTTAAGCTTACGGAGCGTTGTCTTCAAGATGTGTTGGATCGTGAGTTAACTGGTACACTGAAAAAAAAAGTGAGTTAGAAACACCGCATATGCATCGGCTTCAGCAGTCGTGCGACTGCGGTGGCCGACGTTCGACATAGTTCGCGACGAAGTATCCGGCCCCGAGCCGTGCACATTTTTTCTGTGCGCAAGTAGATCGAGTTGTGATGTTCCGCGGAATAATGTGACATTGAAGTTCTCTGCATAGATTCCTCTGACTATATTCAGTGGAGTTTGAAATTTTCAGTGTGTAGTCCATCGCAGACTCTTGTCGAATGGCGTCTTAATCTCCGAGTGGCATCATACGCCCTCTCCAAATGAAATACTAATAAGGAAAGTTGTTCGTGTACAAAGGCATTATGGTTGTACGTTTTCATGCCAATAAACTCGTCTGTCACAGGTTTTTGTGATCTGAAACCACAATAGCATCGGCCTAATTTTTCGTTAAGTGGAATAGAGCGCAATTCTGTATATCGTTTTCCCAGAGAGGTTGCATAGACAGCTTGTCAGGACTGTCATCCTTTACCTATGTGCAAAATAACAATTTTTCTCAATAAGAAGTAATGACTCGTCCTAAGCAGATGGGATGTAACCGCAGGACCATATAGTGTCGCAATAAGATAAGATAGTGTTCTATGTTTTTTTTTTCAGAGTGTTTGTGTCTTAGCGTTTCATATTTTATGTGGTCATAAACTGAAGCAGATTTATTACAACATTATAAAGATGCCCAGAGCTTCGCTAAGAGAAATGGTTGGTTGTATGACTCACATATTTTGGGCGTGTTTGCTCTTATATCTTTCGTTCCGCTACAGAGTATTGTATATTGGAATTCTTTCATATTAGTGAGACGAACTGTATGTATGGTCAGTTTGTGCGCCTAGAAAATTCGCTCGGTTTTCAAAGCTATTTTCTGAAGTATTTGGTAAATATATTGCGTATGGTTGTAGGCGTTTTATTCTATAGCTCTCTTTATACAGCCTTAGACGTTGCCAGTGGCCGGGCCCAGATACTGACATATCACCCTGAGATTTCCTACAGGTGTCCTAATTATTTATTCGTAGCTAGTAAATAACCTGTCAATAACTTCAAATCACTTCTTGTGTCCGTTCCCCCAAATGATAAAACAGAGATAAGAACACCAACAAAATTATGATATCTTTTTATTTGAATGCAGTGTTTTCAGTAAGTGCATGCACCCGATTCACGCGACCGCTCTGCTTGCAGGATTTATCAAGATCAACTTCGACCTTCCATACGATTACGCTGTGGGCTGGTGGAGCCTCAAGGTAGTAGTGCTGAGCCAGGTAGAGGAGCGCAAGATCCTGCTCGAGCGCTGGTTCACCGAGCGCTACGACGTGTACGTGGTCGTGCCGCCGTTTGTGCTGGATACTGACGAATACTTCGAGGGCGACGTATCGGCGAACTACACGACCGTGGCACCAGTGTTCGGCAATGCCACCATTCGCGCCTACGTGCGCCCCACCTTGGTGCAGGACTACGATCCGGGAATCCAGGTCGTCGAGCCTTACCTCGAGGAATACGTGCACGATGTGAGCACCCACTCCGGCATGTCTATCTGGCGTCGCAGCTTAGGAATGCTCGACGGGCTTGAATGTTTATGCTTTCTGCCTGGGCCAGGAGGCCTGGACTCAATCTGTCTATTTGGGCTTTCGTCAGAATCTAAACCTATCTTTTAGTTATAAGTAACCTCTTACTAACCATACGGCTATGATACTTGCTGGACGTTGGCAGGGTAATGTGATTAGCGTGCCGAACCTGAATATAGAAGAGGAGGTAGGGTATATTGACCATGTTCCGGCATCAACTTCTCTAATCAGCAGTGGCGTGGCTGCGGAAATAGCTCTTAGTTCGGCTAAGCTCATCGGCAGCCTATGCACCCTCTTATCTTTTGCAATCTACCCATAGTGTGAACGCGGGAGCACCCAGAGAGGGCTGTTGATTTAGCGTGTGTTTTATTCCGGCGCGTCTGTCTTAACAGGTCTCTTTATCGAAAAAACTTCGTGGATGTTTTCACAACTATATGTGTCTTCTCCCCGCTTTTTATGCCATGTGGTTTCATCAAGAAAAGAAACAAAACAAAAAGGTATCAGAAAAAGCAAGGAGACAGGTAAATGTTATCTTATGGTAGATTAGAATGTCAAAGCTATTGAAATCGGGATAATGTTTTACAATTATATTTACCCATTGAAGAAAAAAAAGAACAGTGAAACTCATTCGTGTGGCAGCACATTTCCAGAGCCTTGAATTTTACGCGCCAGTCAGGTACTCTTTCACTGACACTCGTGTATCTCTACGCTCACTTTATCAGTTCCGGATGGGCTACCAGTTCAAGTTCCCAATGTCCGAGCTTCGCGAGCTGGCATCGCCCCACCCGCTCGACAAATGTGAGATCGAGATAAAAGCCGCTGTGGGCGAACGCTTCCTGGACATCATCGTAGATGGCTACGCGCGATCCCGTGTCATCAACTCGTCCCTCAGCCTAAAGATACTCGGCGTGAAGCCACTTGTCTTCAAGCCTGGAATGGTGTTCTCTGTATACGTGAGTATGCGCTTAAGTAGTATAATACAGCGGGTAAGCGCGGGTACCTATAGCGTACGTTTCATATATTGCGGAGCTAGATAATTCGTCCTTTTATTCGCTTTCAGCATTGAATAATGATAACCAAAAAGAGGTACGGTGTGGCTATATCTTTGCCTCGCACACCAGTACCCTATGACGAAGGCTGTACAGTAGGGCTCGCAGTGTCATGGAATTGTAGCGCGCTTTGTGAGCAAACTAACCATAGTCACTAAAACATGTGAAATGGAGATTTCCTCGGCGTTACGAACCAGCCAGTTGCAAGAGGCTCCCTGGTACACGTCATTGTTATTGTCGGAAATTCATGTCCTGAAAATTGTTGCAGTGCACGTTATGTTACGGAATATGATCGAATTCTTCTAAACCCCGCATATCAAATATATTTGTTTCATGATGCTTCCGTACAAATCTTCTCACCCCCAGAAATTGAACTAGCCAATTTGTGCGTAAACACTAATGATGGGAAATGCGTATTGAAAAACGGCAACTTAAATACGTCAAAAAAAATTCACTGTGGAACTTTGGGGCCATTTGAAGCTATGTCATGTGACAGTGACTTGGCTTCTCGCCTGATTTGTATACATAGTTCAGCTAAGCCGGGTATACCGTGGAACTTGTGAGTAAAAAAACAATTTTTTTCGACACCGCTTCTAAGTCGTCTTTCCTGCTTATAGATCGCCGTGACGTACCACGACTTGGTCAAGCTGCCAGAGGAGAAACTGGCCAATTCCAACATCACGGTCAGTTTCACAACACAGGGTGGTAGTCGGGGCATCGATGAAGTCCAGAAGCAGCCTGACGAGAAAGGCATGGCCATCATCGATGTGGAACCACCCGAAGGCGCCGACCGCATCGTAATCAGGGTGCGTTCCTTTCTTAGAATTTCCCCCGTTTTAAAAACGGCGAGCTCGTGCTGCTGTCATAGTTTCACTGTGCAAAACTGGTGAGAAAAATACCACCTTGCAAGTAAAAAAATTAAAAAAATAAATGTTCACACTGTGGTCTTGATGGTCACACGACCTTCAACATCATTATCTTCCAGCCTGCTTCTTTGTCTAATTGCACAGCACATAAAAAAAGAAAGTTGGCATTTACCTAAGCTCACCTGGTGAAGTTATAAAGAAAATCGGTGCAGGTATCTCCTTTTATTTGCGTTGGCATTCTACAAAACTCATTGTAGTGCTGCAAGAAACACAGTAAGTCACCAGGGCGAGTTCCAAGCTAATTGATGCACCTGTAGTATTTTCAATAAGCCTATAGTAATTTTCTTATTCGTGTTGGACTAAATTATCTGACGCATTATTTGTGTGTATAATACCTATTTGTTACGCTAAAAGACAACTCTCTCACCCCCCCCCCCCAAAAAAAAAAAAAACGACTGAACTAACTGAACTGGCACTTGCAGGCGAGATATCATGATAAAGAAGACACCGTGGATACAGAAGCACTTGCAGTGGCTCAACATTCACCGAAAAAGAAGTACATTCAGATAACTACGAGCACTACGAATGGCATCGTGAGTACCTTGACATTTCTTCAGTGTTTGTGCCTGAATTCCAAACGTGTGCGACAAGTTGTAAACAAGACGTGCCAGTGGGTCACCAAACTGAAACGGCTGAAAAAAAAAAAGCGGGGTCTGATATGAAGTGATTTTGATAGCATACGAAATTACCTCAAAAGACTTCGAAATTAGAGACATGCGCGAAAGCCCATTACGGCGTTGCCACTTGTGTCTGTCTAAACGCCTCGTTGGATCAGTGACTACGGTACTCAACTGTAGACCCGAAGGTAACGGATTCGATCCCGGCCACGGCGGTCGCATTTCAATGGAGGCGAAGTGGTAGAGGCCCGTGTACTGTGTGATGTCAGCGCACGTCATAGAACACCAGATGGTCAAAGTTTTCGGAGCCCTCTACTACGAAGTCATCTCATAACCATATCATGATTTTGGGACATAAAACCCCAATTATTATTACTATTATTATTATTATTATTTGTGTCTGTCTAGCTTTCGAACAATATGCAAGTTTGGAAATCTTATCGTAATCATCGAAAACATTTCGGGTTTCATTGGTTATGGTTAGAGGCGCAATACACTATCGCTAAAAGTTTAACTCTTTTCCTTTAACTAGCTTTTTTTTCTCTCATTTTTTTTCTGTAATGATAGAAGGCATTCCCCACTGGTCAAGACTAAAATAGGTCATTGACACTTCGACAGAGGTCAACTTACGTGTTGAAACCACAATATCTTTATGGGGACCTCAAATTTTGACGACCTGTGGTTTTTTTCATGTGCACTTAAGCCTATGTGCATGCTTTTGCTTTTCGCCCTCATAAATGTGGCCGCCGTGGCCAGAAATTGAGTCCGCGCCCTGTAGATGTTGAGACGCAGTCCCTAAGCTACTATGGCTGGTGCAAGCTACAACTATGAAGCAAGCATTCATAGTTGAATCAAATAAAACACATGGGCATCTCTTGTAGATCTCGTACGACAGAGTTTAGCTTCTAATGTACGTTCTTAATACAAGAGCCCCACGTGCTAATGAACACTTCATCCTGTTTGCTACTTCGCTTTAGGTCGGTGTTCACAAAACACACACACACACACAGAGGGAGAGAGAGAGAGAGAGGTGCACTTGAACGTGCATGGTATGTGTATGGGCAGGTGTACTCGAATGCGCAAGCAGGTTTATTTGAGCATTCCCAACAAGGTTAAAACGGAAGCGCAATCCAATAATTTGTGCTATTCTACTCTTTGCTGCAGTCCCGCAATACTGTTTTGCGAACTCTGTTATTTTTAGCCGTTCTGTATAGGCGCCTCGCTACACAATAAGTTCTTGTGAGTACTGTTTTCTGACACTGTTTTCTTCCAATTCATCTGTCTGGCTCTGCATCACGCTTTTGTTTTCAGGCTGGCCAGTACGCTATATTCCACGTGCGAACCAACTTTTACATCAAGTTCTTCCACTATTTGGTGAGTTGTTCCTGATTATTTCATCGCACTCAATGTGTTTGTAAAATATAATATGTATCAATATTTTTCGCTGTCCAATTTGGCACTTTGACTATTTCAGTGCATAGCAGGAAAGGAGAAACGGTCCAATCGGCCACCACAAAAGGACAGATCTATGTCGTTTTGTGTTAACCGGTATATGTCCTGTTGGGTTAAACCAGTTCAAATGCGACAAACCCACTTGCCTAATCTCCAATACTTGTGGATTTCATTTCGCACTGTGAGATGACCATAAGTTTATCATAGTTTAGGAAGTTCAATGTCACAAAAAGCCTTAAGTTTTGTGTTGACACTAACGTGAATCAAACGCATTGTCACGTCTTCCGCCTTCAACATTGTCTGATTGGTATGCAGGTGATTTCCAAAGGAACAGTACTCCAATACGGAGTGCAAAAAGCCTACGGACTGGTACAGACGATAACTGCATTCAGTATTCCCTTGTCACCCGAGATGGCACCAGCTGTAAAAGTGATGGTCTACCAGATATCCAGCAACGGTGATCTCACTGCGGACGCCATCATAGTTCCTGTCCAGGGTATCAACCGAGGGAACGTAAGACGACATGCTGCTCTGTCTGACACTTATTTACCTTTAGACTGGAACTACTGAATTCAGTTTTACTGCCACATAATTACATAATTTAGTGCTCGGTATGTGAACTACAGTGGTGGTTACATGGTTAGAGCGTCCGCTTCCAATGCGGGAGCTGCCGGGTTCGATTCTCAGTGGCGACCAGGAACCAATCGCTTTTTCCCAATGGGTAGAGGAGTACACCGACCTGGCGCTCATTTGTTTCTAGATACTAATTTCAAAAGGTAGCTTTATAGGGTTCTGCATATGTCCCTGGGCGTACCTTAACAAACCACAGCCTTGGTGAAATAGTTAATCATTCACCGCTGCTGTGGGAGGCAGAGAATCGCTGCCGCCAAGCACCTACTGGCTAAATAGTTACAAGTGCTCTTCATGGCCCAGTTCTCGGCAGAACGAAGTTCATAGTCGCTTGGAAGGGCACCCACCATGTGGGAAATTGGTGGCATGGGACCGCTAGACCTGAAATTAAGGTCATCTTTCTTCTCTTGTGCTTGCGTGTATTTCAAACCTTACACTTTAGTCGGCACAGTACCTCCCAGTTTTTCACCGTCAACCATGCACCATCTCGACCAGACGGGCTTCCGTCAAACTTTAAACTTCATGTGAACTATAGCGCGCGTATGTTTTGTCATGTGTAGGGATACAGTAAAGCTACTGGTACTGCCGAGGTCAAACGCTACAAGTTTCGCTTCTAGGAATAAAGTTTTGACTGCGACATCGAAACTTGACTTGCCTGAGCCTCGATACCCCTCTAGAGATGATTGCTTAATAACTAAACTGTTCCCACCTGAGCTTCAGCTGTCGATTTAATAGTGCGAGATATTTTTGGCACTCGTTTTTCGAAAACACTGCATTTCACTTAGCATGCATACTCGTTCCATAAAGGTTTTATTTTATCTTGCTAAATTTACTACAAGCAGCTTTGGTTGTGATAACGTGCTTACAGTTGCACAATAAAGGACATCCCACGTTTTCCTGGAATGGCGGTTGTTATGTCGGCTACATTGCTGCCTCTGGCCAATGATGGCTACTTTTGGAGATTTTTTTACTGCTCTTCACATTTACGATCCGGCAACCCTGTAGACTCCCATTTACCCTCCCATAGAACCTCATGTATACCCATGCCGCTTATTGTGCAGTCCTCCAAGCTGAACGACCGGTTATAATGCTGTTGCCGGAAAATCTGTGGCAAATTCGGTAGTGAGTGCGCGTCTGAAAGGAGGCCACTTGGTGCACCACTGAGGAGCGACCGACGAGGTCGTTGCGTTATAGGGGCTTTGGTTGTTATGGAGGAGGGGGGATGAGACGGGGAGTGAGCGAAGAAAGAGAAAAGGGAAAAAAAGGTGGTTGCCTCGGTGCCGGACGCCGCTGTGTACCAGCGTCGCTAGCGTGGCTCCGGCCGGCCGCTGCTCAACATGGCACGTGCAACCCCGTCCTTATCAGCAGCGCTTAACAGTTTCCTGTCTGGTAAAGGGTCGTCGTTATCGAGCGTGCTAAGAAATCGCTATTGCTACCTCGCCAGCAAATTAAAAACCTTTTACGGCTTTATGACACGAGCTTTCATCTTTGCTGCTAGTGCGCTACCTACTTTGCTTTGCGGGTTCTCGTCGTTTATCTCCCGGCCGGGAATGCGAACTTCGTATCACGTATGCTGTTCTTGGTTCAGTGCTTAAGTGCGATCTTTTCAACGCTGAACCTTTATGCCTTGGACAAACTTCACACGACAACATTATATTCACAATGCCCATGGCCTATAGGTGGCACGCTGTGCAATCAAAGATGGCTGCGGAAGAATGATCAACCCGCGAACTCGCATAAGAAAAGATATGTATGACACACGAACGTACTCCCCATGCCGCTTTCATCAGATGAGCTCTTGATCGTCAAGTGAATGTATATCAAACCAAAGTACTTTCCCAACCGATAGCAACTGTTGAATGTTCGCTACATCATTTCTTGCCGCAGTGCAAAGGGTGGTGGCGTCAGCTGATCGACCGTGCATCAACGATGCTTTGCGTAATCCTGTGCATGGTACAAAAAACTGCGTGAACTAGAACTCCCATATGAACTGAACGGCACTCCGAAATAATTGGTGCCAAGCCTGCCTGGTGGATTTGCCGCAGTAGTGATCCACTAGCGAGTAGCGCGCCGTCGCGGTGGCACAGGACTGAATGTTTAACGTAGGGACGGTTTGCAAACATATTACGCCGTCGTCATTACTTGCACTGTAAGCATCATGCAGCTGCTTCTTCAACGGAACACAGTCATTTATTTCCAATTAAGTAGCGCTTGTGTCACAGCCATGATCAGACTCTAACAGTACACAATTCCCTGCACTAGGATGTTGCAGGTTCTATCAGTGCTATCGAAACAAGGATATCGACACGCGTACGCTTTTTGCAACGTCAATATTGCGAAAATTTGTCGAACAACGTCATTCAGACGGCACCGGTGACGTTCAAGAGAAGTTAGCATGGACTGTAGTCGTAAATGCATATTTCATTGTTCTAACCATTTCACTTCACTGGTCGAGCTTAAGCGTGTTCACGGCATGCGGTGCTTTGTAATATCCACTGTTATTGCGATACATTCAATGCACAAGAAAAAGTATGCTTTTATTTTGAGCTCGCTGAAGAATATTACACAATAATTACAACCAAAGTGACTTACGAGTGCATGATGGGACGTGAGGTTCAGCTCACTGCTTGTGAGCTAGCAGCTGATCGTTCATTGTCGCTGACAACCATCTACGTCCAGTGAAATATTCTCGACGTCAAGACCGTTTCTTTTAACACCACTGCTGAAAGTAATCTGAGGAATTCTCTCCGCCAAACGACTTCGATAGCACCAAGAACGCGTCATTTAGCGCGCAAAACATCTACACAGCGTCACACACCACGTTTATGTGAGGGTGCAGAGATCATTTCGCTCCGATACCCGGCAAGAAATGAATAGTTTGCAGGGTGTTGCAATATATCAACGAACGTAAAAAAATAAGCGGCGCAGCGTAGGCCAAGGTTTAGAAACGCAAATCGCGAGCCTGCACTACTTTCCGCGTAAAATGAATATTATGAAATTCATGCACTACAAAAGCACTGGCCGATGCTAACGCTTGTAAAACAAGGCTAGTTTTAACTGTAACTTTGGTGAGACGATAACATTAACCTATCCAGTGTGGCTGCGAAAAATCTCGCGAAGCAGATAAGTGTACTCTACGGGTTATAATCGAAAGCGCGAGTTGCCACGTATTTTCATGAAAACTTCGCGTCTCGCAAGAAGGGATCAGATTTATCGTGTCAGGGATGGTCCGGTATATTCACAGATGCACTAAAGATGCAAAGTGGTTTGTGTTCGTTTTTTCGCTAACGCGTTAACACTGCGGCTAGCACCATCGGACATTGGGAGCGTCTGCCTACTGATCATTCTTGAGAGGACGCTCCTGAATTCCGCTAGGTGGCGCGACAGTCTATGAACATTGCAACTACTGAATGGCAGGCTAGGCCTAATCGTCATCCTTGCGTTTCGGTAGCGGTCGCGTGCAAAGTTGTGGTTCAGTACAGAATCAACGAAACTCTTTGCGGTTGCTTCACTTCACGGGAAGGGATACACAACGTTAACGTAAACGAGGGTTGCACGTGTAGCGCTGGAATGGTGGCTCGCGATTCGATTGCGATGTCTCAAAATTGTGTGCGTGCCCGTGAAATTGAATAATTGACGTCTTTCAGCGCGTGAAATTTCAGACAAGACTCGACGTAGTTTCTGTGTAATGCGCATAATCGAGGTGGTCTTAGACGTAGTTGGCTAATTTTTGCAACGATGCTTTATTTTATTAGACCCCCCCCCCTCCACCTTTGGTATTCATTTCGTTAGCAACGTGTGTCTTAGGATTTTATTATTTTTTTAATTCGGCAATTTAAATGTTTGTAAGCACCATGCATCACATGCTTCAATTCTCAGACACACGAAGCTGCATGTTGTTGTGCCACAGGCATGTTCCTCGTTCGGGAGCGCGTCTCGCAGGATCGAGCCCTGTTTCGACGAACTGTCTCCCCCCCTCCCAGCGCCGCCTTCCGTGCAGAAGAACCGTGCAGTCCGGGGATAACGTCGTTTCCTCCGCCGGACCACTTTGCAGTTCCGGGTAGGGCTACGTCTCCCCCTCCGAGCCCGAGAACTGGTCTTAGAGAATGGACCAAAGACGCTATTTAAGGCCGAGCCGGCCCCATGTTAGGAGATTTTTGCCCCAGCCGACGTTGTCGTGCTGGCTGGCTCTGTAAAACGACAACCTGCGATAGTAAACGCTACTTTTGTTGCTGTTTTCCAAACGGATTGCCTCCCTGTTTCACCTTCGGGCTAAGGCTTCAGCGAAGCCCGCTCGACTGCTCACCGCTCTTCGCCACCGCTACCATCGCGACAGAGCAAAATTCATAACAGTGGTGGCAGCGGTGGGATACGATATCCTACGTTCGGCACGCTGGATCAGACCCCTGTCCTCAACGTTTTGCTGCTCTGGGACCCGCTACCCCGATCTCAACGGCTGAAAAGTTGGATCGGATCTCTGAGCACGAGGACGACCGCCGTGATAGCGTTTGGCTACGCTGCGATACGCTACCTCGTTCGGCATCGTTCGGCAAGCTGGGCAAGCAACCCCGGATCTCAACATTGGCAAGTTGGACCGGATCCCTGAAGGCCTGACACTGTTCGACGGCAGCCACGAGTTGGACCATCGTCGGCTACTTAGGTTGGGTGAGTGCCCAACGTTTACTGTTCATTTCACCAGACCTCTAGCACAGGCAGATGTTAGGAGAGTGTTTTGTGTTTTTTATTGGTTATAATTCAATATTCACGTACTTTAAACCACGAGATTAGTTTTGGAGTACGGTGAATATCAGTAGTAGAGCATCACGAGGGACGAGATCGCGATGGAGCAGTACCTGGTGCAGGACCTCCTTGAAATTTGTGGAGCCATGGGGATTTCCGCCGGGTCCGCTAAAACAAGGGAAGCGATTCTCGAGGTGATGCGGGCAGAGAGTGTGACGGCCGATGAGGCTGACGAGTTTTGGGAGCTCATTTGTGAACAAAAGCGGAAGGCCGAGGAGAGCAGAAAAAGGACAGAGCATGCTCTCAAAATGAGAGAGCTTGACCTTAAAATTCAAGCCCTTAAATGGGAGCAAGCGAAACACCAGCTCCACAACTTTCAGACAGGCGAGAACATCGCGCATTTTCTTGATGATTTTGAAGTTGTTTGCTGTAATGTTGGTGTTAGCCGCGACCTTTGGGGGGAGAAGCTCGCCACGCTGTTGCCGCGCAAGATCGCGCATGTTTTGAATTGCTTACCCTTCGAGGAAGCAAGAGACTTCAGTTATGTTAGATATGCCTTGATAAGATATTTTTTTCTTTCAAGTCATGCTGACGAGGAAAGTCGGAGCGATGAAGACAAGGTTGAAGCGCCACGAAGAGCGCTAGCAGTAGAAGCGCGTCGAGAAGCGCGTAAAGATAAGGCATGCCGAAAAGCTATGGAAGCTGAGGCCCGTCGCGAAGCACAAGCCGCAGAAGTGTGCCAGAGAGAGCGAGACGCCGAAGTGCGTCGGATAGAGCCAGACGCCGAGGTGCATCGCAAGGAGTTTGGGGCCGAGGCCCATCGCACGGCTAAGGACGCCGAGGCGCATCGCGAAGCGCTAGAGACGGAGCCGCTTCACAGCACACATGATTCGGATGCATCGCATCAAAAAGAGCTTGACGACAAGTCGAGTCGTAAGGCACTACAGGTTGACGCCTGTCGACAAAAGCTTGAGCAGGATGCGCGACATAAAGCGCTACAGAGTAAAGCTCGAAAAAGAGAGCATGAGGCCGACTTCGAAGGCCAGAGAAAAAGGGCTATCCACGACAGCGATAGACCCCCACCGATTGAAAGCTCTGTAAGCGCCTTTGTTAGTCTTAAATTAATCGGGCCTCCCGTTATGCCACAGGCAGAGACCGCTAGCACCGGGCGCCAGGAAACGCTAGCCAACAAATTTGGAACTTCGACTCCCCACAAAGATAAGTTGGTTCAGCCGCATAGAGTTTTGGCAGAGCCTGTCGAAGGCAGTGCGCTTGTGAATAAGTGTGTCGGTGCTTCCACCATTCCTAGCCATTCGAAGAGAAAAAAGCGTCGGCAAAAGCGTAGCGCGGAAGAGACGAGAGGCATCAAACATGTTAAAGCAGCTGTTAAGTGCTGTGACGTCTTCATTCGATACGCCAGGTTCAGGGCTAGGCGTAGAATTGCGAAAGGGCCCTCCAGGAAATGTTTGAGGCTCAGACCATCACTGAGATGGAGATTAGGCGGGAAGCACGTCAACAAAGACCAAAATTCAAGGAAATTGGAACGCCGAAATCACCGCCTGGTCTCATCCTTTTCTCTGCCTTGTGGATGCAAGCAAGTGGGGAAACGTTGCGAGCGCTTGAGCTGTAACACAAGCGGTCGTTCCCCACCGTGGCGAAAGGGTCACTGGTCGAACGGGCGGCGTAAACGATGCAGTGCAGATGCCCCTTTCTTCGAGTTCAGTGGCTGTGGGTCAAAAGTCGCTGCTACTGAGTTCGGCGAACGGGTTGATTCGTCGTCCTTTTGTCCAGACCGCAACCCTCAGAAGCTGTGTAATGCGCGACTCTCCAGAGTTCGTCTGAGAGGGGCCCCGTCTTGCCGTTACTAGGAATAGACATTGTAATTAGCTTTAAAAATTGTTTTTCTACTTTTGTCGGAAGCCGTTGAGCAAGGAATGAGTCTAAATTTTTGTAAGTTTTACTTTCCTTGTCATCGGAGAAGCAGATATTCAGGTTTGTTTGATTAATTTTGTTTTCATAATATTTCAAAAGTAACAGTTAGTGTGTTTTATTTTAACAGATAAGGCTAAGTAAAAACCCCTGTTTAAAGTACCTTCTGTGTTTTGCATTACGTGTTAGTATGTACGTAAATGTAGGTCAACTTTTCACTTTGTTTTGTGTAACGCGCACAAGTTTAAATTTTCGTGTTACTTTCTTACGTTTTCAAGCGTGCATTCTCTTGTTTTGATGATCATTGGCGGAGCTCATGGCAGTGAGAGCTTGTAGGATGACGAACTTTGTTATGTTTAACAGTCTGACGCTTGCAAGCGACGCCAATGTGCGTGATTCATAATTGCTTGATATTCTAAATTGTAGTTTCGGGGCCAAATTGATTTAAACTCAGCAGCTTCGATCGTCCTTAATCTGCCCGGGGTCACAATCGAGAATCGCTCTCGAAAACAAAAATTCTGATTGGTTTAGCAGTGTCATGCACTGTAAAGGAGTGTCCGCATTGTGTATTCCTCCCGAGATTCGTTGCTCGTGATGCTATTTGTTAGCCCAGCGTAATCTCGAGGAAACATTTGGTGTCTGCTGGTCTGGCGACTTGATCAGCATTTGGAGGGTGCTTGCTTTGGCCGGAGTGGTTCGCCTTTGTGTTCGACTCCGTCGTTCCAGTGAACATCTGCAGGCCTTTGGAAGTCTCAACGGGCGGAGAGAGCGGAACGGCTACCGATGGTCAACCAGCATCCCTCCTTCCGAGCCGCGCTGACGGCTCAAAACTCCGGATGCATTGTCTGGCGGCGGGGGTGCTGTTGTGCCACAGGCATGTTCCTCGTTCGGGAGCGCGTCTCGCAGGATCGAGCCCTGTTTCGACGAACTGTCTCCCCCCCTCCCAGCGCCGCCTTCCGTGCAGAAGAACCGTGCAGTCCGGGGATAACGTCGTTTCCTCCGCCGGACCACTTTGCAGTTCCGGGTAGGGCTACGTCTCCCCCTCCGAGCCCGAGAACTGGTCTTAGAGAATGGACCAAAGACGCTATTTAAGGCCGAGCCGGCCCCATGTTAGGAGATTTTTGCCCCAGCCGACGTTGTCGTGCTGGCTGGCTCTGTAAAACGACAACCTGCGATAGTAAACGCTACTTTTGTTGCTGTTTTCCAAACGGATTGCCTCCCTGTTTCACCTTCGGGCTAAGGCTTCAGCGAAGCCCGCTCGACTGCTCACCGCTCTTCGCCACCGCTACCATCGCGACAGAGCAAAATTCATAACAATGTTCAACACGTTTTGAGCAAGTGCGGCCTTTGAAAAAAGGCTGTTTTTATTATAGTGCGGTACCGCTTTTAGGTGCAGATATTCGCGACTTTTGCGACTTGCGTTATAAGCGCTATTTCTATTACTATATAGGCAAGTCCTTGAACAACCTTCCTTGCATTGTGGTAGCGATAGCGCCAGTCACCCCACTTAGTGCAACACATTACCACATACAGGTTTAATGACCTCCTAAAGCCTTCTAAACGCATTGCTGTCCAACAACCGCGATTGGTTCTTGGTATAGCTCTTTTAGCTGCTTGTATTTCTTCATGGAGCTTCGCTTCGTCCCTTTCAACAAATTGCCGGAAATTATACCTCCAACTATTCGTTGGAGGTATAATTAAAAGAAAAAAGTGTGTGTGGGTCGGATCATTAGTGCTGGTAAAAGATAAGAAGTATATAGAAATATGACTAATTACTTGCATTCCGTGTTATTTCTTTTCCCTAATTCAAGCTCGCAACAAAACAAAAGTATCACGGTAACATTGATATATTCTGGTTTACCTTTCCACTGTTTCGTTTCGTCTGTGACTGCATTTGAATCATTTGACGTTGATAACTGTTGCTTCAATAGGCTGTAATTACCTTGTACGTACAGTGATGTATACTTCCACATTGCGCTGTTTCATTGTGTTACGCTGATTTCATGTAATATATGTGATGTCAGACCGAGTTATAAACCATGCGCTGTGTTGCTGAACGTAAACAAAAGCACGCATGTGTGTTTTTTTTTCAGACCTACTAGTCTATTGACTGTGTTCGCATTATGTAATATAAATAAATTTAGAACGTAAAAAGCTTGTCGTGTTTCTGATATGCGATATCTTACGATGTTGGCTGAAACATTCAATGACGCCAGCACATTCCCTTTCTTTTTCATTTTATTTTTCAATTTACAGTTCTACTTGTGGAAGAACTTGAAGCAAGACCGGTCTAACAACTTAATCGAATTGGTTCCCACGTATTCTCCGGAAACCGTGGCTGGTCTCAATGGACTGGATAGCGACTTGGTGGCTGTGCAAGGAAAGAACGACCTGACACTCACGTCGGTGAGGCCATGTTTGGTATTCACACTGCAACACGCGCCCCATACGGCGAGACGTTTTCAGAGAGTATGCGGGCTACGCACGGCGAAGCTCCTTCTGCGTCTATAGTTCCACCAATTCCTTCTACTTAAGAGCAATCCGTGACTGGCCATCCACACAGCGATGGCCTCCCCACTACGCCAATAGCTTTTTTGAGTGGCGAGCCCCAGAACACTGGTAAATTATGAAGCTCTCTTGCGTAATATAGCTCTTTTAGATATACACGGGTGTCAACTATCTTAGAGAGCTGTGGTTAACAGGAGTTAGTTGGTCACCTTAACACCTGTTCGTACATTTATGTGTGCTAATGCCAGCTATATGTGTTTGTTGACAAGACGTGGCACCACATCTTCCCCCGTAAACGTAAAGTAGCCTGCGAGGCTTCCGGCTCGACTGACATCGCTATATTTCCTAACTGAAGCTAAGGCTTCTGCTGTGACGTCCGTGATGTATACATAAACTGTTGTTTTACGAGTTTGCATAGTTGCACCAGACGAGTAGTACCAGGGTAGTAGTACCAGCATGGTGCCATGCAGGCCGTATTTTACGTTGCTATCCAAACAAAAGAGTTTGAAGACTGAATGAAATACTCAAATGGGCAAGCTTGTGCAAACGTTTTATTTATTTATTTATATTTATTTATTTATTCAATACCTCGCAGGCCCCGAAAGAGGCATAAGGTGAGGGGGGCATACAGTGCAGTGTAATCCCCTAAATACGCGTATTATCAGAAATTCGCGACATAACAGAAAATATTGCGAAGATACCTAGCCGAACAATTGGAATCAGGCTGAGACTGTCCTTCTTTACTTTGTTATGGTAAGTTACTCTGCAACATTGCGGGTGACCCTGACTTTTGCTTTTATTAATATTGTCCCAGTAGTGACACAACTCAGGACAGCACGAGGGTTGATCGAAGAAGATAAGGACGAGGGGTTTGAGTAAACAAACTTGTGCCAATTCAAGGTCTTGTGTGGTTTTGTCCGTGACAATACACACAGTCAAAGAACAAAAAAAGCCTTATAAACCCTGCAGTGTTATTCACATTACGGCATGTTCATTACACATTCCTTATGCTTGAGGGGCTCCTCTTCGTTTCAACTATTTCTCCGCTGTCCCTGACTATTGCGTATACACTGAAACCAAGACTCCACTAAAGCTTTTGTGGGCTGCCGTAATGTGTTAATGAGGCAACCATGGTCATGGTAAAAGCTTACATTTAAATGCTACAATAAGCTGCAGTGTTGTTCATTAATACTTACAAATAAATTGAACACCTCGAGATCTTTGGCTTAAGCATCTTGCTTTGTCAGCAATTAAAGTACTCTAATCCGTAAAACAGCTGTATCTTGCCGGTACTTAGCTACGGAGCAGAAACCTGGAGACTTACAAAGAGGGTTCAGCTTAAATTGAGGACGACGCAGCGAGCAATGGAAAGAAAAATGGTAGGTGTAACCTTAAGAGACAAGAAGAGAGCAGAGTGGATTAGGGAACAAACGGGGGTTCAGGATATCATAGCTGAAATCAAGAAGAAGAAATGGACATGGGCCGGGCATGTAGCGCGTAGACAGAATAACCGCTGGTCGTTAAGGGTAACTAACTGGATTCCCAGAGAAGGCAAGCGGGTTAGGGGGAGACAGAAGGTTAGGTGGGCAGATGAGATTAAGAAGTTTGCGGGTATAAATTGGCAGCAGCAAGCACAGGACCGGGTTAACTGGCGGAACATGGGAGAGGCCTTTGTCCTGCAGTGGACGTAGTCAGGCTGATGATGATGATGATGATGAATCCGTAAAAAAGCCTTAAAAGTCAGTATTGTAAAATATTGCACCCTGGAAAGAGTTCTGGCACCCTCAGAGAGAGTAAGTTCAGCTAAGTGCCTCCAGAAACTTCTGTCACGCAGTGAAATTAGTTTCAGCTTGGTGTGGCAATTCTTCTAAGCGGCATCCGCTTTAGGCAATGCACGATGAAGCAATGACTTCTTGGGGAAAGAGTGTGTACACGGCGTGGGGTTTTTTCACTGTTGCTCCACGCGTGGGTTGGTGAGAAAGAGCTGTAACACTGTTTCTTTTTATGTTTCCGCAGGTTATCGAGACCCTGTACCACATGGAGGACCACTGGGGCAGCCACGTGCGCGCCGTGTGGCGAGATCGCGACGGGAAACCCGACAAGGCAGAATACTACGTCACGCAAAACTTCGCTCCAGACGTGAACAAGACGTTTGCGGTGAGTATAAACGATGTAACAAACACGAGGCCCTTCTACATATGCGCATGAGGAGTCTTTTCTGCAATGCAGTTGCACGGCTGTGAAACCCGCAGAAGTCCACGGAAGTTTGTCGCGATGTAAAGCGAAGCATAAAAGTGCTTGTTGACGAGTTATAGAGGTTCAATAAGGGAATGATAACGACAGAAAAAAAGTCAGTTTCGCCGCAAGAGTGAAGCAATGAATGCGATAGCAACCACTTCGAATGTAACGCTGAGAACGGTGAGCAGACCAAAACGAAGAGCGCACTGCTCACGCATAAACGACACACGTAAACAACACACACACACAGGACAAGAGCTAACTAACAACGTTTACAGCTCGACACTTAACGCGCTGTTGAAACAAAAACGACGCACGAAACGTAATCACTGGTACAGATATTAGTTGATTGATATGTGGGGTTTAACGTCCCAACACCACCACATGACTATGAGAGATGCCGTAGTGGAGGGCTCCGGAAATTTCGACCACCTGGGGTTCTTTAACGTGCACCCAAATTTGAGCACACAGGCCTACAACATTTCTGCCTCCATCGGAAATGCAGCCGCCGCAGCCGGGATTCGATCCCGCGATCTTCGCGTCGGCAGCCGAGTACCTTAGCCACTAGACCACCGCGGCGGCGCTACAGATATTAGTGCGAACTAACAAGTGTCTTAGTGGTTACTTCGCTGTATTTGAAGAGCGCGCTATTTTCGCAAATGGGGCCTTTCCAGCGAGCGAAGTGATCTTTGTGCACCCGAAAACTAAACGCAATCGTTCCGGTGGAAGGCAAAGGCGCGCGATTCTCCCTCACCACAGGATAACTGCGCGGATAAGGCCCCTTCCCTCCGCAGAGCAAAGTACGCGTGGAAGATGAGCGCAGATCGGTGCATGGCGACGAGGAGGGGTGAGGGGGAGGGACGAGCTTGACATCAAACGCTCATCGCACCAACTCTCTGGTAATGCTGAAAACACGCTATTTCGCCAGAGATAGGCACCACCAGCACGAAGTGGTAGATATAAATAGCTTACTGTTTCAACGTTGTAGGAGGCACTTCTTTGTGGCTAAATAACCACCGCTGTGCGCTCACGAACGGAAGGTCGGACGTTCGATCCCGTGCACTGGAATCTTTTTCTAGATTATTTTTTTCTTGCGTTTTCATATATATAGACACGTATGCGTATACGGTGAATGACGGCGGACGCCAACGCCGGCGGCAAAATCCAGCCGAGAGTGTCCATATAATTGCTGTCGCAATAAAACTTTTTGGGAGCTTAGGAGGTGTGGAAAAATAATCGTATACAAATGCAAATGACTACAAATAAAAGTCTGTGGCTGACCCCTGATAATCCGCCATTTATATTTCATGTTATATTCACGCGCTGTACAGAAACCGCACAAACACCCGCCGCGGTATTCCAGTGCAAATAGCTCTATAGCTGCTACTAAGCACTTGGGTTCAAACGCTGGCCAACACCTGCGGCCACATTCCGATTGGGGCAAACCAAACGCTCACATGCGCAACACGTACCCACATCCCCACCTTTCCACCACTCACGGAAGTAAATTCTCGCTACAACCCTTCTTATTACCCACTGTGCTGCTTCATTAGATGCTCGTAGCAGCAATGTAAAGTAGCCGGACTTGTTCAAACGGTTAGAGATTCTACCAATTGTGTTAAAGGTTACAGATTGTAACAGTTAAAGATTGTAAACAGTTGTGTTCAACTGACTGTTTCGGTAATCAATAGGAATACTCGTTGTGTGCCCGAGCACCTTTGTAGTTGCCAGCGTTTTTTTCTCTGATGTCAAGATTTTATGTTTCTCTTGCAGTTCGCAGGGCTCATTGTTGCCACAAACCTGAATGTCACAACTCTTCAGGGCAAGTATACACTCTTATCGACGGTCCAAATTTTCATAATTTCAAATGAAGTGTTATGCCGCTAAGAACAGAGGAAGCAGGCAGACTTGCTGTCTGCTACCATACCTGACTTAATTGTTAGTGGTCGTGTTCCTCCGTGGCCCTGCCTAGAAAATTGTTATTATATATGCCTAGTCATAGTTCTCGTTTATCAGCAATTTTTCAGTTAAAAATCTTGAACTGGTGCAGATTTTCTTCATAAGTTTCTCTCGAGGACCTCGCGCGACATAGATATTTATTTATATATTATTGCTGTTCTTCATATTTTGCGAATGTGTACGTTCGGATGCATTTTCTAAAGTGCGGGAAATAAACACAGTAAGAACACTACCTGGCATATCTCTCGGCGAAACTTTTCTCTTTACTGCAGTGCCGAGTAGGTGGCTGATCAGCCATATCTGTGTTGTAGTTCTTGCAAATAGAAAGCATACCCTAACAAGCACTGGCCTTGCAGACTTGTGCAACGAGACTGCTGGGTTCCTTCCCTGTGTGAACGGTGAGTGCTATCCTAAGAGTGGACGCTGCAATGGGTACAAGGACTGCTACGACGGAACGGACGAAGGAAACTGTGAGTGGCTCTAATCTGCCATTTGCACATTCATGACACCCACTCTGCGTTCACTTGATTATTTCATTACCTTTTTGAGTCCTGCTTTTAAACACAATGCAGCGTAGATAGATTGTTATGCTCGATTACTGTACTCTAAAAGTGTACATACTTTTCATAAAGGACACATTGTTTTGACCGCATTATATGGTGACTATGATTCAGTGAGAGCTAGAGTTATTGCTTCTAACCAGGCTGACCGCATTTCGTTACTCGCTGCTTTCAGGTGAAAAGGACGACTTAGAAGACCAAAGTCTGTTCGAGTTCTTCTTGTACAGAACAAACCGCTTTAACAACTTCTTCGACGCCACAGGAGGCAATTTCGCCTGGCATCATGCCATTACCGGGTAAGATTCAAATAAATAATAAGCATTATAGTGGAGTTGGAGGTGCACCGCTTATGAAGAGGAACCCTTACTGGCCCTTAAAGTTATCTAGAACATATACCTGTCTTCTTGGAGGAAAACCAAACCACACGCAGCATTTGCTGGCTGGATAATATCAAGAGACATCAATGACATAATCAGTGCAGCTAATTGTGCGCAGAAGTATGCATACTTCTGCAGGATGTACGTTTTCTGTAATACTTGCTTTTTTGCAGCACTTTCTCAAGTAATTTTTAGTATATCTTTCCCTCTCTCACTCCTAAGCATGTGCATGTTGAAAATTAGAAAATGTGAGGATTATCAATAACCATATTAAGCCAACAGTCAATGAAGTCAAGCTTCTTATAAGGGAACAAGACTTTAGACCATTCAAAGGTCACAATTCAATGGAACGAAGGAAATAAATTTGTCACCAGTTTACTGTTTTCATTTATAACAAAAGGAAAGCCAAATAATTGCGTAAGACTAGAGAAATATACGTGCTGATTGGACCTGCATTCATGACATCGGCACTACATGCATGTACGATGCTCTGTCAGTCGAACTGTCGCTCAGAAAGCAGCCCCACCTAATTTCTTAAGCTCTTGTACAGTGCCTTGATGATGTTAGTCAATACTGCTCGATCTTTATCATACAAGAGCTTACCAGTGAGCCCACCCTAATGACGCAGCACTAACGAACGGCTGGTTTCGAATTCAAGTACATTAAATTAAAATGCTATTGGCAGATATTGTAAAACTGCTGCAGTTTAACGTCTCAAAACCACCACATGATTTCAACCACCTGGGATTTTTTAACGTGCACCTAAATCTAAGCACACTGAGCTTAAGCATTTTCGCCTCCATCAGAAATGTGGCCGCGGCGGCTGGGATTTGATCCTGCAACCTGTGGGTCAGCAGTCAGGCACCATAACAACTAGACTACTGTGGCGTGTATATTAACAGATACCTCAACATAATATGTGTCTGAACGACGGCCTGTACAATGCGATTTCATCGGTAATATAAGAATCGACAAAGCTGTCTGTAAAATGCATAAATAACTTAAAGCACTTCGATTCCGTGGTTGAGAACGGTTACAGCGTAGTGCGTCAATGGTCGTACATAGACCATATCACATTACGGAAGTAGTTTACACTGGCGTTCACTCCGTGCAGCTTACATGCCTTAAGTTTATGTGCGATAAAACATTACTGTGTCGTCTGCCAACAGGCTTTTTTCTTATTTATTAATACCTATAGTTGTGCACAAGACCAACCATAACACTTGTAGCGAAGATCAAACATTAAAATACCTATGTTCTTTTTGTCTGCTTTCAGTTTCCTGCGGTATGTAGTGACGGGGTATTTCTGCTCCACTAACGTCATCGGGTGTTTGCTGCACTAAGGGAAGGGTCTTTTAGTTTCACTAACGTGAAACCAGTGGAAGCATGTAGCGTTTTGAGAGCGATGTCTTTGATAAGACTCTAGGTGGTGCTAGAATTATATTTATCGGATCAGTGGTGAGTAGGGGAATTTACCCTATTTTCTGCGGTGCATACCATATGGTGGACCGTGACTTTATGACACACCGCGGCGACATTAGACGCCAAAAAGGTGAGGCCCTAAGGTGCTCCGTACCTAGAAAGCATGATATAAACAAATGTGCATATGATACAAGCATCAACCTTGTATTTTACGCATATGAACTCTCGCCGCACTCGCATATCTGGCTGAAAGATGAGCGGCGACTGTGTGCATGTGTGCGAATGCTGTGCACAATTTCTTTAATTTTCTTGCCCTATTAATTCAGCCAAGTTCCCAAAGTGAAGTATACTATAGTGGGCAAAGGCTTACAAACCCCGAAAACAAACAATGGCGTCATTGCGGTCATGGTGATGTGACGTCACGGCAAGCGCTCGTCTTCTCCGCCACCCCTTGTCTCCTTTTTTTTTTTTTTTTTGCACCCGCCACGCACCCATTCTTTAGCGATATGTTGGTGATTACTCCTCAATAGCGTCACAAAAATCTCTCGAGACACAAAGTTAGAGATTTCATAACGAGTGACCGTTATCAAAAGGTTTCACAATTTATCTTTGGATCAGTAGACTCCCGTCCAAACGGAATAATTACTATGAAAATTACTGTTTTCATTGCGTACGCCAAGAAATGGGGGCTATAAGAAAACATGCTAAGTGGTGCTAACGTGATTACAACCAGGCATAGACGCCGGTTTGAGAACACATCTGTTCCAAAGTATCGCAAACGAAATTAAGATGCTTCCAATTCAATAAATACATTTTCCTATACCATGCATGTTTCGCCTGCGTCTGCGAATAATCTAAATTATTTGACAGAATTGCGCTTTCTCCAACAGAAGAATTCACATGAATCTGACTGCCGTAAGCAGAAACTTTACATATTCGGAAAATGAAATATTACTGTCGCACACACAACGATTTCGGAAATATTGGGATATGTTCATTTACTCGTATCATATGTACATGTTTTTTCTAAACAGTCGCCAGGGATTGTGTAGTCATATACACTGATTTACGTGAAATGCAGGGGTGATCTATACCGTCGCGTCACAAACAGTAATGTTCACTTTACGAGGGAGTACCGCTGATATATAGCAACAATTTCAACACATGCCAGGAAGTTGAATTCAATATTCTCGATGGCGCAGTCAACGACGTGGCCCAAGTAATAATTAAAACAACCTTCGTCTCGATGAGGCGATGACTGGTCTCGAACGTCATATGCACGTACAATCAACTACACGTAAAATTAATTGATAAGGCGGATACCTCAACTAGTAGTTGAGAGTGCGACAGCACCGTTGCTACAATTCCACACGAAGACAGAATCTGACAGCAATGATAATTTCCGCACACCACCTCAACCGCACTTAACCTCAATCATTTTGATGAAATGAAGCTTCAAAACTATTGCAAGGAAAACATAAAACTCAACAATGTTCCGGATGAGCAGGTGCGCGACTAAAGCAGACAATAGTGGCAGTACATGGTACTCTATACAGGAAGCGCATTCGAGATATTTTGTGATATTTGATGATGCATGCAAGCACAGAGCTTGGCACATTATTGAACGCACTCTCCGTAAATAAGTGGATTCCTCCAATACAAATAACCCTAGAAGAGAGAAACTCGTTTATTCTGTAGGAATCACCAAAGAAACCTAGTGATGTAAATATTGTGTCTTGTGTCCCAAAACAACAATGACAAAAAGTGTTAACAGTGCATGTAATGATTAGGAAAACGACGAGAAAACAGAGGTAAGGAGTCGTAGTCTGCGCTGTTAACACTTTCTGAAATGAATCACCACCAACTGGCCTAAGCGTCAACCCTTTCAAAATGACATGAATATGCACCAATAAGTTTGCTTTATCCTAGCAGAAGTGTGTATTTGCTTTTCACACCCGTCGGAATGCGACTGCCGAGGCCAGGAATATAATCCGCCATCGGGGTTAGCAGCGCGACACAGTCCTTTTGATCTCTTTCATGTTGCCTACGACGGAGCGCGTGATTGTGCAGAAGCAATAGTAGACATTTATTGTTTTACCAGAAACATTACTGATTCTGTTTTTGTCATTCATTCGCAATTTGAGACGAACAAAAAGCGAACGCAAACAGCGCAACAATTCACGAAGCGAGCGCATCATCATGTAGGCGTGCTGCGGCGGGCGTCAATAGAGTTACTCTACATGCTACCTTTAAAAGGTAGTATATACTGTAACTCTAGGCATCGAACAGTCCGTGCCGTGACGTCACCCAAGCCTCCCACCAGAAGGCGGCACTCCAACTTCTCTGTGCTGAAAATCAAGCTATCTGCCTTTCCTTTATCATGACGTTCGCCGTTTTGTCGCTGTTCTACAGTTCTATACGCACCGTAATGGCACCACGTGGTTTTCGATAATGCCCTAAAAGTCGTGTATTAAAAAAAAAAATTGGCATAAGCAAGGTACTCCCGCCACAGATACGGCACAGACGAACTATGACGAATGGTAGAAGGGTTGATAGGCGGTCTAGTCGGTGTACATTCATAATGAAATATTGTGAACGTGAACTCACCAGACACAAGTGAGGAGACTAACGAGCGCAAACGAACGTATTGAATCTGCGCTTCTTTGTCTCCTCCCTTGTGTCCCATTAGTTTGCACTCCCAATATTTAATTCGGGTCTGATGTTTACAGGAATGTAAATGAATGAATAAACCAGCCCCTTCGTAGCTCAATTTCGCGCAGTTCACAAATAGGACCATTTTTTATATAATGTATAATATTCTGATCATTAAGTTTTTAATCGAATTGGAAAGGCTTCGGGCGTTACGTAGACGTGCTGAGAGAAGATACAGGCGTACCAAGTGGATTCTTGATCTTAGAGTAACAAGGCATATGCAGAAAAAATACAGCGCCAAACAGACAAGCTTCAGGATCGAAGATGGAAAAGCTTGTGGGAGTCATTAGAACCACGCAAGCCATTGTCTCATGTATGGAGAACTCTACAGGGTCTTGGCTCAGGCGCCATGCGACGTCATCCCTTCAAGGCTCTCGCACTTCGTCTAAACCACCTTGAAATGGATGTTGCAGATGATTTTTGTGAGAACATCACCGGCGGGACAGTCCTACTTTCCGATATGCTTTTATGCGATATCTATGATTCACGAAGTATAAGTATAAATGCTCCAGTTTGTATGGAAGAGCTAGAAGCTGCATTGACACTGTGTAGGCGTTCTTCTTCACCAGGGCCTGATGGGATAACGTATACGGCTCCGGGCCACTTAGGTCAAGCAGCTAGACGACAACTGCTAAATCTATTTAATCAGTCATGGGAAGATGGCGCAGTACCTCAAGAATGGAAACGCAGCCGTCTTGTGCCACTTCAAAAAGCAGGAAAGTCCCTTCGGGTGCTGACATCACACCGTCCTGTAGTTCTTGCCAGCTGCGTTGGGAAACTCATGGAGTGCATGATTCTCACGCACCTGGAATGGCTCCTTGAATGGCACATTTACCCCAAGTCCATGGCGGGATTTCGGGGAGGCCGTTCATTGATTGACAGTGTCATTGATTTGGTGTCATCAGTAAAACAGCAGAAATTCAGGAAGCGACTAGCACTTGCGCCTTTTCTTGATGTAAAAGGTGCATATGACAACGTTTCACATCAAGCTATACTAAACGCACTACTGTTAATTGAACTGGAAGAGCGAATGTTTCGATGGACCCGAAGCTACCCGACACGAAGATCCTTTTTTGTATATATTAAAGATGGCCCGACTTCAGACCACTACACGTGCCATGGTGTCCCGCAAGGGGGTGTTTAAAGCCCAGTTCTTTTCAATCTTGCCTTGCTTGGCCTGGCGGAAGCTCTCCCGGAAACATTCAGTGTTTCAATATACGCTGATGACATGTGTGTCTAGGCATCAGCATTGACACACCTACAAGTTCGAGCAAGGATACAGAGGGCAGTGTTGCAAGCATCTGACTATCTTCGTATGCAAGGTTTAACAATCTCAACACAAAAATGTGCACTGATGGCCTTCACGCACAAGGCGATGAAAAGATACCCTACAAGCATTAATTGCCAGCCCATCTCTTACAAGCATAGCCATCGTTTTCTAGGTGTCATTGTTGACCACGATCTCTCCTGGAGCCCTCACGTGACTAGCTTGAAAGGGAGATTGGCATCTATTGTCCACGTCCTGAAAGTAATTGCTGCAAAAAGATGGGGTCCATCATTGTGTTCTATGCTACACTTATACCAAGCACTTTTTATTGCTGTACTGCGCTACAGTTCTCCTCTCCTTACTAAAACTTGCAAGTCCAACATTCGAGCACTTCAGAGAGTGCAAGCACAGGCATTGCGTGTTTGTCTCGGCCTACCACGAACTACCTCAACCGCTGGAACAGTTATATTGGCTCGGGATTATCCGGTTGCGACCTACGTCACAACCAACGTGCTGTGAGCACATGTTCGGCCCATGTTACGGATGGTAGTGAGGCATTTGGCATTTCTGCCAGAACAACAACCACAGGCGTCGTTCTCTAAGGTCGTTAGCTCCCACTGCTCTTTGCTACCATCCGACGATCGGCTGTTCTCTTGACCCATCTCTACGACTACGGCTACCCTTTGGTATTTCCAGGGAAGACGGTACAGTGTTGTGTCGTCTGCATCTGTGCATAGCCTTCACCAATGCCTACTCATTTAAGAATTTAAGATTAATATTGTTGACAGCGCACAGTACGACTGTGCCGTCGATGTGACTATTGAACACCTCTTATGTTAATGCCCGGCATACATAAACGGGAGGCTTCGCCTGCACAGTGTTTTAAATCAACTGGACAGAAGTGATTTCACTGTCTAGAAAGTATTGGGACCATGGCACTGCCCATCCCAATTACGAAAGGCAACGAAAGCACTGTTGCGTTTTCTCTAAGACACCGGCTTGTTTCATCATTTGTGATGTGAAACTGTTATGCGTCGGCCCAGCCAGTAACTTTTTTTCCTCCTCTATAACTTTCCTTCCCCCTCTCCCCTTCCCCAGTGCAAGGTAGCCAACCGGGGCTCAGCTCTGGTTAACCTCCCTGCCTTTGCCTGTTTTTTTATGTTCTCTCTCTCCCTCTTGTTGAAATAACTGAAGAAATCATGTCCTATTTATCTTTGTATTATTTGCGTAAAATGGATAGTGAGTGCCAAGTAGGATATTGTCTTCATTTGCTTCTCGATGTTTTTTTTTTTACAGAAACTTAAAGGACATATATATGCCATGTCTTGTGCCTAAGGGTCCAACATTGTATATGTTCAATGCTATTGCTGTTAGCAGACTTCATGGTTTCGCCATCCTCAATGAGCCCATATACGTAAGTTTGCCTTTTTTTGTCAGTCTTTGTTATAGTTCGTACGATTTGTTGTATATGGGTTAAATAAGCTGAAAAGGGATAAATAGGCCACGAAGAAAAAAGGACAGTTGTCACAAATAATAGAAGCATGGCGTTTTCAATTGTGCTCAGCAACTGTCATAATGAACTAGGCGGCGAAAGTGGTTGACACGTGTCAAAAGCAGAAACTACTGGAGGTTTTCCAATAAGTTATCAGCAACATGCAGCTGGTAATAAACGCAAATCATTTCGCTCCAAGAAACGCTTGCTCCTTATTAGTAGGAACACAGAAAATGATTAAAGGCATAAAATATGTCTTCTTTAGCGCTGATAGTTCGTAAGCCACAGCATGTGTATGGGCAGACGCAAAAAAAAAACAGAACAAAAACGGGTACTTTCAGGTCTATAGTAGTGGAAAGGTAAAAATAAACTTTCTATTTAGCGTAGCGTAGCAGCACCACCCGAGAGCCTGCACATCTTTTGACGTAAGCGCCAAAAGAGGACAGTGTTACTGGTGAAACGCACCCGTGACAATAGATATATATGCAATTTATATTGGAGTTTTTATGCAAAAATAAATATTTTAATTACTCTGCAGCACAACAGCTTGCGGCCTTTCTACATGACGTACGAGGCACCCACAGAGGCTGTCATTGGGGAGCAGATTGGTATACGTGTGGTCCTCTTTAATTACCAGAACTACTTGGTTCAAGTAAGTGCACATTTCTACATGTTATGCTTCCCAATATAAAAACAAAAGAAACCTAAAACGAATTGGAGTCAATTGGCTCTGTGAAGATAGAACTCTCAGCAAAACTGTTTATCACACGGAACAAAGCTTGCACAGAGTTTACGATGGTACGAACTCTTTATTGTCTGAATAAGCATTGTGCGGCATCCGCCCGACGTATTCTTTCTAGCGTTCGATCAGCCTCTTGAGAGCAATGAGAAACCACCAAGACGCATGTTTGGCGTCAAATTTTCGCACAGCCGGAATTTCCCTGATGTGTACGGTTCTCCCTCCCGACTTCGCACCTTGTCCTGCATGGTGCCTATGTACCACCACTACGAAAGCCAACCAAGAAAGCGTTCTTCGTTTACCTTTGTTTTTTATTGCGGGCACAATGCATTCATATGATTCAGATGTACTTACTCTTTGCAAATATCTGTGCGCAGCGCAGTGGTTAAAACAGTCGCCTTGTGAGCGTGGGCTCCCGTGTTTAAATGCCATCCCGCCAGGAAATTCATTTTGTTTTATTCATTTCTTTCTGGAAGTTTTCGGCCAGCGAATACGAAGAAATGCCCCAAACGAGTCATATAAAGCTTCGCTAAAAAAAGTGAAACTTAGCACACTTGATGAGTATGCAACCATGCAAGGATGGCAATTACTGTATTTTTCCAAGTCCAATAAACATCTTTCTTTTGGGGGAGGGGGGTGGACTAAACCTCAAACTCGCATGCTCATTACATTTGGCTAAGGATGTTTTAAACTGCCCCATAGCTGTATTTTTGTTTTTGGGTCATGTAAGCCAGGTGCGCGTTGGAATCGGGGGTGCGTTGGAATTGGATAAATATGGTAGTTGCGTCTGTCGCATATACGCAGCTACGGAAGCTTGCTCCGTTGATACACCAGTGCTCACAACAAGTAGCTGTAGGGTCGCTTGCTGTATTTCGTGCCGATCGACTGTGCCCTCACGATCTCCGACGACAGAGCGGCTCTGGCTGACTGGGTCGGCCTTACGCCACCTCCTGCCGTCGATCTCCGATGACAGCGCAGCTCTGGCTGACTGGACTCACCCTATGTCCTCTCCTCAAGAGCTCTCGTCGAGTAGTGCCCCGTCCACGACGGGCTCCTACGACCATTTCCATCTTTCCTATCTTCTTTTTACTTCCATCGCTCGCTGTCCCTGCGCCTCGCTCTCTCCTTTCTCTCTCTATATATACCTTTTAATCCTATCATTTTAATCCCTCCTTACCCTCATTCCTTGTGAGCTACTGTTGAGGTGTCACACCTGATGCAGACAGTTACGGGGCTCACTTTTCTCTTCTTTTACTTTTAAGAACAACATAAAAAAAGAGTAGCCATATAAAAAAAGACGGACCTCCAAAAAGTTGCAAAATTGTTCCCTACGGGACCGCAGTCTGCGCCATTACGTGGCGACAGAAGATATCCTTTAGAAAAACTAAAGTGGGCTGTAGGAAATCTATCAAGTAGTTCTGGCTGTCTCCATGGCAGCATTTGTTCCATAATTTTCAGAAGTCAAGGATGTTTATTCACTCCCGCCTTCCAACCCATCCGCTAGCTTTAACCAGTCTTAATAAAAAAGAAAGTGAGATAAATATCCCAGCACTTTTTCAAGGAACACATATACGTCTTGCTGACATCAGGGGTGATATTACCTCCCTTAGGATTTGGCATGAACAGAAAGTTCATTTTATCTGTGGTTTAGGGGCAAACACATATAATATAAATAATTACTCTTACCTATAATTGGATTAGGACCTAGTGCCTAGTGGGCTAGCTCCTCAAATCTATAAGTTACAACTTCATAAAATTCTGCGCTCACAAAAGATATTGCGCTAGGCTTGTTTTCAATTAGGACAAAATTTTATTATTTTCTGACACCGAACACATAATACCAGCCAATGAGAATGTGCTTATACGAATGCAAGGAATGGTGCATTTGGCTCTTGATTTTGCATGCATCTTGCAGAAAAAAGTATCATTTTCAGAATAAAATAAAACTCTATTTTAAATTGGGTGAATGTTCTATCTCATGTTACATCATGTTAAAACCACCACTGATTGGATACTCATTAGTATTGTTCACTGTTTTAAGCTAATGGTTTTGCGATATGTGTTTGCCCTTTGGAGGCTTTTATGTAATCTCACAACTTCCGTTACGTTCAACGCATTGAATCTTGCTCATTGATTGTTTTGACACTGATAAATGTGTCCGCATTGCGTTCTCTTCTAGGCTGAACTTCGAGTGCTTGGCTCTGAAGACTACCGGTTTGTGCAAGTCGGACCTCTGGGTCGGGTAGGCTCTTACAGCCCCGTGACCACCAAGGGTGAAGTGCAGCATGTAGTTTACGTTAGTATGCCTATCTTTTTGTTTACCCTCTCACAGATGTGTCACCGTCAATATCATGCCGGGTCATATCTTTACCATCCAATGAATACTGATATCATCGAGTAATGACTCCGGTAAACTCCACGCGCATTACGTGCTAGCGGCGACACCTGAAGACTTGTTTTTTAAGCGTGAAAATAAATAAACAAAGAAATCAGAATTGGCTGCATTTGATTTTGCTAGTAAAATGGGGAATAGAAGGAGATGTAGGGATGTCAGCCAGATGCTCTTCGGGTTTGCTTTCCTATGCAGAGGGGGGGGGGGGGGAGCTACAACTCTGAATGATTTAAGGCAAGGGATAAATCTTTAACGGCACTCAGCTTCAAAAAATAAACGCATGACAGCCTACATGCTTACGGCGCCACACGCGAGCGCTTCAACTCTGTTCGTACTTAACGAGGTGTAAGTAATTTACATGACCCATTGCTGCTTACGAACAGTTTTCATGGTCGGCAGGAAGCCTTGTTTATTTATCTTGCTGTTCGCAATAGGAGCAGGTTGCAGAGCAACAACTGGTGCTGATTATTTCAAGTATTTGTAGGGAGCATGTGATGCAGTGACGATTCGCTATGCGTATCGTGTTCTTTCTTGTGTTTGTCATTACTTTTGGTTAAACACGCTGCGTTCAATAAGATCGATGCCAGCACCTGGAGTTCATTGCACTCATGCAAGTGCATGTTGTTGGGTCTTGTGGCGCTGGAGCAATTAGATGTAGCATACAAATAATGTAACCATATGAGAAATTTTGATCACACAAAATTGTAATTCTGCAATAACATTCTACAATACCGAGAGCGTCATAAACTCGAAGCTTAGTTATTGAATGTTATTCAACTCTATGCACAATAAAGACAAACGTCTGTAACTTTGAAAGAGGGAAATTCCATGCCACTATCTTTTCGATTCCCTGCCTATAACAAATTTCAATTTTTTGTTTTCCTTATTGTTGCTTCCTGTAATATTATTCTTGACCAAATGCCTCAATTTACCCCGAACATCATTTATTCTATTGTTCAACAGATCCAGCCTTTCAATCACATCACCATACACGTTCCAATTGTATCAGTGAAGATCGGACAGGTTGATGTGGGCATTGTGGCCAAGACACAAATAGCCCACGAAGAGGACACTATTACCATCAACTTCCTCGTAAGTACACATAACTCGGCAGTGCATGCACTTAAAGCGAGCCAGTCGTATGGATGGAACGAGGTCTGTCCATACAGAACAGCGTGCACTATCAGTACTGGTGCCGGCAGTTAACATTTCGCTCCGAGTTGCAACGCAGCAACGCTGGCACACCATGTGCCGGCTGCTGTTTGAGGTTACGGCAGCCATGAATGCACAGACCACCTTGACGTGGAAATTGTACGGGCATGGTCGTACAGTTAGGGATACACTGTTCTGAGTATAAAAATGTCGCTTCATGTGCTCATGTGCGTCTACGTTTTAGCCCATTTTTATTACTAAAAGTAAGTGAAGACATGCATCAATTATAATACTTGGGGGTGTTTGAATATTCGAATGTTTTGAGTATTCTTCAAATATTGTATTTGTGATATTCGTATTCGATTCGATAACCACATATTCGAAAACTTCGAATATTCGAACAAACTCGAATATTCCCAAATATTCGAAATTCACTAATATTCTTTCGCACATATCATTGTGAAGAACTTAAGATTTTACGCATTTACGATCAGAACCTCAGTAGATCATGCAGTGATTACTACGACTTCGGCGCGAGTGCGATTCGGCCTGCATAGATATTCACGGGAACGTGGTGACGGCTTCAAACGTACTAAGCGGAGGCACTTCATCGTGACAAACCTACCAACGATAAACATTTCAATCAATCTAAATCCCGTACTACTAGCACGGCAGTACGTGTGCCTTAGCGGTTTAGCGCTATTACGGTTCATGTAAGCGTCCGCTGCCACGCCTTCGCGCTCGGGACCGCAAGTGCGTATCGCTCGTGAAGCAACTCCCCGCCACCGCATTGGCTCACCAAAATAGTCTCGGTCCCGTGCTGAGCGAGCACGAAGAAAGAAAATATCTCTACGCAAGCGCAACTGCATGCGTACACGTTACAGGATGCGGCGCTGATGGAGTGAGCTTAGTAGGCAATGCACTGCACGCAGCTAGCTAGCGGCACGCTCAGCTACTTAAGATGGTAACGCGTTTCAAGTATAGCCACGCCAGTTTTCGTTAATGAATCACCGTAAAAACGTACGTGACATGTCGAGTCGTCCGTAAGCTGTGCCACTACTTCAGCATGTATACTCTCGTCATAGTTCCGGAATTATTTTATGGCAGCGGGTATGGTAATGCGAATGAGCTGAAGTGTTTTTCCGCGCCACGGCAAACACAGAAAAGGCTACGCACTTTCGGCAGCGTTAAAATGGCGTCATTGCTAACGGTGGCGCACGTAAAATGACGGAAGAATTAGGGAGTTTTAGAATACCGTTTGCAAGTGCTGCGGGCGTTGCGGGCGTTGTGGGCGTAGCAGGTGCTATATGAGCTTTAGAATGGCGTTTGCCCTGCTGCAAACTGCAACGCACGATCGCAGTGACACCGTAGTCTCAAAACCAGCGCTTGCGGGCTGCGATCACCGCACGCAATTTCAGATTTTCTGCGTGTGGTCCGCGAACACCGACTCGCGTCACGACGCATGCGCAGTGGCAGCGACCGCTCCGCAAGGGATCGCGGTGCGTTAATCTAAAACTCCCTATAATAATTCGTAGTTCCGCTGCGTTCCCGACAGTGCCGTTGAAAATCCGTCGTACGCCTATCTCGCTTTCGCGGCAACGTCTCCTGCAATGAACCCTCTGTTAAACCATTGCTGCGATCTCGCTCTTTTGTCAAAGTCAGTTTACTGCCGTCGGCAGCCACTTGCCGAAGGGGGTCGTGATGCGGCAAAATAGTGCCCTTGCCGCCGGGAGTTGTGGCTTCCTTAACAAAAAGGCGTATTTGGGGCATCTTTCTATCACACACACATCAGTATTAATGTATCTCGCGCGCTTACCTCGCGTTATCGCACCGCTCCCGGTACACTTAGGTCACGATCATGCAGCTATCAGCTCCACACAGCATTCTTGATCAGGAAAGGGCGAGCGAACAGTCCTCGAGAAATGCAATGGAAGCAAGCGAGATAACGAGTATTTATGTGTGGTTGAAAAACGCCCCATGTACTCATAATTCCCTCAGTGGCTTTACCGATGAGAACAGGGGAGGAAAATAAGAATAAAACAATAAAATCAGGGGCTTTCTAACCAAAACTGATAGTGTGAGAGCCTGGAGGAATCCTGACCACCTAAGCTGCTTTAATAATCGCTTAGAGTTAGGTACACGGGTGTTGACTGTTGCACAGTCAAACCAGTGGCCTCATGCTCACTAGTCATCACGGCAGGAACAAAACCTTTTTTTTTTTTTGTAATAAAGTGCTACCACATAAAAAAATGTAAAAGATTTGTTCAACATGTGGATTAAACCCGATACATCACAGTCACAAGCTCTACTATTACTGTCTTACGCTTTCTGGCAAGTACGGATGGTGACATTTTTTACAGAGAAAGCTCTTATGAGATCACAACTCGGATCAGGCGTGACGCCTTAGTTGTCCGCTGCCGCCGCTGATGTCCGGAACCGCTATCGCACAAAATAATAAGAAAAAAAAACTAGTACTAAGGATGCAGTAGGGCTCTAACTCGGTTCCGCTGCAGGCCAGTCCGGTATTCTTCCACTGAGCGACGCCGGTACATGGAATTCGCTTGCAAACTTACCTTAGACACGCTTCATGTCGGGATATAAATCGCGGTATTATGAGTAATAGAGAGTTTTAGAACACCTAAAGAACAACCAGGTGTCACACAATGGGAATAGTGCAACGAGAGGGTCATTCATTGCTCCAACCTATTACAAAAGTTTGCTCTTGATCGCCTATTAACTGTGGCACATAACCACTAAGTATAATTCCTCATCGTTGTCAGCCACTGCATCAACAATTCGCACAAAATTTTTTGTAAGTGTTTATCAGATACCACGCTTCTCAGAAGAATGACGAAGGATAGCATAGTGAATGCTGGCGTACTACCCAGAAATTATTATTATTGACGCCGTAGTGGGTAACCAGAAAGTGTGCTTGCAGCAGTTACCCGTAGAGTGTTTAGAAAGGGTTCTGAGAGCCCACTCTTCTAGCTCCCGCTGTGACTGTGCTGCGGCTTCTGCGTAGGCCTGGCGTGTTTTTTAATTTTTCGGCGCAATAATTGACTATAATAGGAGTTTTACTGTTTCCATCTTGAATATATGATTGAGTAAAAGAATACTGGTGGTAAAAATGTACCTCTTTATTACTCTATATTCGATTCGTATTTGAAGCTATGTATTCGTATTCAATTAGTATTCGAAAATTTTGATATTTGCACACCCCTAAGCGAATAATAATCAAAATCAGTATGGCATTATTAGGCTGCACTGCGTCCAGCTTACTCTCGACATGCTGAATGTAACATGTCCGAGCTCCGACTTCAAACTCTGAAATCAATGCAATACCAGTAAGAGCGCTTCCCGATATTGTGGTGCATCTTTCAAGTGAAAGTAGAAGAAACAAATTACCAAGTTATTAATAGTCATATTAGTTGTTTGCATAAGAACACCAATCTTTCATACAAATGTATGCTCTTAATAACCAGAAATAAAGATGGAAAAGTTGCTTCATTTCTTTTCTGATGAAATGTGGTTTGGGCACTACCCGATAGCTCATGGCTAAGATATCGTCGAGAAAACATACCGAGAACACGCAAGCAAGAGAAAAATTTGTTGGTGGAAAAAAAAAACGGAGCTAGGTCAGATGCAAAAGTTCAGATAGACAGGAAAGTATTTTAGAAAGAAACTCTTGCTGGCTGGCGAGAACGATGACGAAGTGTTTAGGTATCCAAGCGCTTCTCTCTGTGCTCACCGATTTTTTCGGTGAAACCTTCAGTTTTGTATGGTGCCTAGGCTCCGCGTCTTGTGGCGATGAACGTGGGGCTTTCCGGAGGACCGCCTGGCCAGCAGTCATCTCGGCTGACCACCGCGAGGAAGAGAGGAACTCCACTCAGTGACAGCAAGGACACAGAGCTGTACTCAGCAGCCTCGGAAGATGACTCATCCGACGATGATTTTATTCTTGCCCGGAGCAAGAGGGCGAAAAGGAAGATCGTCAAAGTAGCCTCGCCCACATCTGCCAGTACAGCAACTACGAAGTCAAGGAATGAACGCTGGCCACACGTCATGATCCTTGTGCCAGAAAAGTCCTCAGAAAACCTGCGACTGCTGAACAGACAAGCACTCTCCGCTTTTTTGGAACGTGTGGTACTTAATGAAATCAAGGAAATCAGAGTAAATAGGCGAAAAAATATACTCGCCATAGAAGTATTCCACGTGAATGCGCTTGAATCGCTCAAACAAGTGGTTCAAGCTAGGCGATATCAAAGTGCGGCCCTTTATACCGATTGACAACTGATCCATAGCTGGTGTGATTTACGACGTAGACATTGCGATTCCCGATGCTGACTTGCCTACCCTCATCAAACCGGCAAATGAGGTTACTGTCATCACTCAGGTACACCGCCTTGGGAAGTCACGCTGTGTGAAACTGGTCTTCAAAGGCGATTGCACGCCATCCTATGTCAAAGTCAGACATTTTCGACATCTTGTTCGGCATTTTGTGCAAAAGCCACTTCAATGCCAACAGTGCTTTAAACTAGGTCACGTCAAGGACGAATGCCCGAACTCGCTACGGTGCCCCCGGTGCACAGAGCCCCATTCGGAAGATGCGTGTCAGTCCACACTTCTTAAATGCGGTAACTGTAATGGCTCACACACTGCCTCATCGAAACACTGCCCTCGAATTAAGAAGGAGCGTGCGGTGCTTAAGCAAATGGTCACAGACAATTCGACCCACAGGGATGCTGCTGAAACAGTCTGATGTCGGCAGCGGCGTCGGTGCCATCGTTCGACCTAAAAGACTGCGCAAGCTCGAAACGACAGCGCCACCTCTACTGCTGCACCATTAAGTCAAGCCGCAAGAGGACCGACAAATTCAAAGAAATCTTTGGAGAGGACTATCTCTACAGAGCAAACGCGTATTCTTCCAAGTCGTCCGCTAACCATAGAACGTCAGCAGACCACGCCCACTCAGGGGTCTTCACGAACCACTGATGACACACATAAGAAAGATGGCAAAGTCATAACTATGCTTGGTTCTCTCGTGGATGCGATCCGGGAGATCTTGTTGGACATGAGGACAACGTCTGCTCAAAGCGCTCTCAAAGTACTGGACGCCTTAAGCCTAGTATTTGAATCGCTCTAGTAGAAATATGGCTAACGATCACCATCATTTCTAGAAGTCAAGGAAGCATCCATCAGTCAGTAAAAACTGCAGTGGACTAAAACCGCGTCTTTTCGGACTTTTGCCAATTAGTGTGCATCATTATGTTCCAAGTAATCCGCATTTGTGAACCCAACGCGTGTGCGAGCTCTCCTTTCTCTCATTTTTTTCCATCTTTCAAACTGCCTCATCCCTATCCCCAGTGTAGGGTAGCATACCGGTCGCTCCAGACTGGTTAACATTCCTGCCTATCCTTTCCATCCTGTTCCTTGCCTTGCTGGCTGGCAAGTTACTCAACTCACGGAAGGTGATTTTTGCTTCAAATTCAGAGTGACTTCCGTCATGTCTTTGTGTGAACCTCTAAATTTTGTTTGGCGTGCATGCTGCTCACTCACGATGCAATTTGAGCCAATGTGCGCCTGAGTTGTGCTTTCGTAATGGCGCTAAGAATCGGAATATGTGCGTCGTTTTTTACGCAGCCCGACGGCGTTCCACTGCGGATGCACACCTCCTTGCTGATGGACCTGAGAGCACAGGCGTACAACATCAAGTTCCTTGATCTCAATGTTACCGAGGACCCTATCATCCCCTTTGAAAGCCAGTATAGGCGCTACCTCTTCGGGTCACCTGCCGCACATGTATCAGTCATAGGTATGGCTCCGGTGAATATACCAGGTGTTACTACTAATATGTGAAATACTATTTTTAATCAGGGTGATTTTCCCACAAACAAAAAATAAAACTTTCTTCAGAAGGAAACTGGCAAATGCCGTGGACGACCACAAAAGATAAGATAATGTGAATTAGGGCTTGGTTGACTTCAGCGGAAAACTTTCCAGCTAAAGACTTTACGGCACATGTTGCGATTGACACATTGGGGCCGGGAAGCTTGAGCAAAGAAAAGCAATTGCCGTCACATCATGCGTAAATAACAGCACGCAACGACGCCATTCATACCGCAAGAAAGTTTGCGCGAATGCCTGGTACAAGACGAAGGTGCCTCTTGCATCTTCATTTAAATAAAGTCCGCACAGTTGATATTGCTGCTTTTTATTGAACATCAGTGCACCTTGGCAGCAATGCGCTAAGTAATACCGTGCAGCCGTGTTACATGCAATTAATGTTCTCGATGTGCATTTTGATATGACTTTTTCTTTCTTGAATTTCTTGCGTGCGTAAGAATAACGATGATGTCACAATTTTCTGCACATTTAGGCTATCTAATGTACTGTGACTCATTTATATCACTTTTTGCGCAGGCGCCAGGTCAGAGTGGAAATTCCCTCGATCATTTTATCCAGTATAGTCATGACCACTTTGCTGTGGCGTACGCTTGCACACAAAGAGGATGAAAATTGCGACACTTGTACATTAATTCACAAACTGTTTATTGTAGTTGAACAAGCGAGGAAAAAAAACGATCATAACACCGTCTTGTTTGTTTGTCTTGTGCTCAGCATCTAGAAAAAATATTCCTGATCAAGACCTTATTGCTTCCTCTACAGGAGACATTGTTGGAACCCCCCTAGACGGAGACGTGGAACCAGAAGAATTCGGATTCTCAGTCGCCACAAAATCGGGCGAGCATGCCATGTTCAGTTTCGCATATCAAGTTATTCGACTGACTTATTTGCGTCTCACGGACCAGCTGACCCGTGACATCGCAAAGCCTATCTTCGAGAAACTGAACAAAGGTATGAACACTCATAGCATAGTTTCATGCCAAGCATGCACCGTTTCTTGAGTTTAATGTAGAAGCAAGGCTGCGAGCGTTTACTTACAAAAGGTGAGCCTGCGCGCTTGGTTTCGTATAGGCTGCCCACGCATTGAGTTCCGGCTGTCGACTCAACTATGGCTGTTCACCTCTTGTACGCTACCCATCGACTCCCCTAATTTAGTTGGTCTGATTATCTCGGGAGACGCGTCGAGGTGAGGGGCGTTTGCTCAGCTTTGCACGCGCTCTTTTTCTTGCAAGTTTATGAGAGAAAGTGTTTGCGGTCGTTGAAAGAGATCTGAGCATGCTGATTCGCTCTTGCGGGACACCATACTTGTTGGTTTCAAAACGAGGGGCAAGATTACACAATACCCAGACAAGGCTGGATATATTGAATTCAAATGGGACCGTGAAACTGTTCGAAACTCGACATGCGGAGTATTTATCCCTGATACTTTTCGAAAAAATCCGCATGTCTCGAACACTCTTTTGAGATTGTAATAGGCAGAAATTTACCAATTAGTTTGTCCAAGGCCCCACAAACGCTCATGTAGATTCGGGAGGCATTTTGCATTCTGGCCCAGCACAACGGCTATAGTTTTGCGGATAACAAACGCTGCGACTAGTTTGCCTCACTGCTTGACTAGTTCTGTCTAACAACAATAATCTTCACTGCATTGCACTTCTGTTTCAAGGCAGAGTTTATAAAATGATTTTAAGGAACGTGGTTAAAGCACATCTGTCAGAGAGCGAGAGTGAGAGCGTTCTTGCTCAAGCCATCCATTTACAGACACGAACCTTGCTTTTTCCCCATCTAGCCCTTCACGTACCTGTTTGGCATCTGCATCGGACAGTGCTATTTCTTTGGCATCAGTACTTTAAATAATTGCTGGGGTTTTAGATGCCAAGCCCACAATACATTTCTGAGACACGCCGTAGTGGAAGACTCTGTGTTATTTTCTAGCAGCTGGGAATTTTCAATGCACACTGGAATATATATACACGGGTGTTCTTTACTTCTGGCCCAACGAAATGCGGTTGCCAGGGCCGAGAGTCGAACCCACAACCTCGAGTTTGGTATCAATATTTCTAATGACGCACGGGATAATTACAATCATGTCAGGAGAAGCGTACCTGAAGGGGCTAACCACAGCGAAGCACCGTGGCAAAGGTGAACGGGATATTAAAGGGCATGTTATACCTGTACTTGCTAAATCCGGATTCATTCTGTATGAAGGAAAAAAAATACGAAAGTTGCTTTGGCCACTTGTCTAATAGTTCGCTATCTCTTCCGGTCCAGTCACCTTTAGGTATAAGCTGACATGTTTTTAAATGGCCTTAATGTATTTTGTATCGTCCTCGTGGCAACTACTAGATAACTTTGACACGAATAGTTGGTGAACACCACGGGAAGAAATTTTATAATACTGTTTAGCGAAAATGCCACTTGGAGGAAGCAGTTGTCCATTTTTTTAATTCTTGCCATTTCGATGCCTCACAGTGTTACCTGTGGAAGAACGAAATCAAATAATACACTGGTGTTTGTTATTCTTTTTCACTGCCAGCCTACGTTTATCAAAGTTCCTACTTCAAGAACGGTGCATTCACCATGTTCAAGAAAGAGCCCAGTGTTTGGTAAGTCGATGCCTTTGTGAATTGTATATGCTGTGCCATATCTTAGAGCTAACTGTAGTTTACTTGCCTTATCTGATTTGTGTAATGCGTATACATACTTGGGGTTATGACTGCACGCGCGACGTCAGTCCCATGAGGTGAACATTCTCATTGGTTCACGCTAATATAATGCCAACTCCTGGAGAGCCACCATTTTAGGTGGCAGTGTACTTCGATGTCTTACTCGTCAGAAACGCACAATGACAGCAGTAAAACGCTTTCGAGTTGTATCACATGCATGTTCTTCAGTTACCAAAGTGGCGGGGGCTCTTCATAATCAATTTTTCATAATCTGCGAACTCTCTGTAGAAATTAAGGTGCAAACAGAACTTTCAAACACATATATTGATTCAGTCATTGCGATAATATAGGTACTTCAAAATAATGGAACTCTGCACCGGTTAGTTCTATCATGATATCCTGCTTGATAAACCTCATGTAGTGAAATACTTTTCAAAACGGCGAGTAGATGAAGACAAGGACAATGTACAAACGACACACACAGCTTCCAACTGATTTATTGCAACAAAAACACACCATCTATGTAGTTATTCTCTTATCTCGTGGTGCGTGTGAAAAAAGCGACGAAGCGTAAAAAAATCTCTGACTCTGTGCAGAAGTTGGTGACCAGGGCTATCAATGCGCTCTCAACAGCAAAATTGACTGAGTGGGAAGGGGACATGAACACGGGTCTTGACAAAAATGATCAAAAATGAGTGTGATTGAAAAAGTGGGTGTATGCAGATTTACAAGAAAAACAGCCTTTAAATGTCTAAAAGGTGTATAAAAAGAGCATTTAAACGACTAAAACTTGTAAGGTAAGGACAATACTAAAACTCATCTCTGCAAAATGCAAATTCTTTCGACAAAAGTAACACAGAGGGCATCATGGTGTCACTGGGTCCACACTGTTTGATAGATGTTGCCTGATAAATATATCGTGCAATTTGTTCTCAGTATTTTCTTAGGACAACAGCCTGTTTAAGACAGGGAGAACAACCACAAGTTGAACAGTGCAAGGCCATATTGCCGCCCGACTTTTAGGTTCGCAAGTCCACGCCAAAAAGCAACAGTTTAAAGTTTTTGGCGTGTGCCAGAAAAAGCTATATTGGTGGGAAACCTCGGCATTTAAATCTAAGCATTGTAACTAAAGCAAGTGCATAATGCGAGGGCGTGGATAGCTTGTAGTTATGATGGACCGCTCCTGTAAGTTGCTATTTAAGCCTGTCATATCATTAGTATGGCCTCGTGTTTGTTTTTATCGTTCCTTCTGCATACATTGGTAGCGAAGACATTGTTTCTTCACTTACACCGATTGCTCATAATCTTGTGGGTTAAATGGTACATGTGCTGCTACAATTTTGCCTGGTGAGTCACTAAAGGTGTCTCCTCTGATGTTCATGCACACATAGGCTGACAGCCTTCAGCTTGCGGATGTACATGCTGGCAGTTTTTCCTGACTGGGAGCACGACATCTACATAGACCCGCGGCTCATCACGCAAGGGGTCCACTTCTTGCTCAAGCACCAGGATACAAACGGCGCTTTCTACGAAACCTCACGGTACCCGTGGAATCGCAGGATGAGGTCAGAGGTACACGGCCTTCACATACCATCATGTAGTCTGACTTCATTCGTACATTTAGTTTTTTTTCTCTTTTTTATTCTTTGTGCGGGTGCGAGAAAGTCAGATATATAAAAACAGCGTTGAAACATCGCCTAAAAACAATCGTGTTATAACAACCATCCTAGAGAGCGAAGAAAGTAGTTTTCAATAGCACTTGCGTATAGGGGTTCGTGTCGGCTAATTTAGTGTTCACATGGACGGACTGATGTCCTTTTTTTCTTGTTGCTTTTAATAATACGCGTCCTACGGTGTGGGAGCACATGCACTTGGGTTGCGTCTGGCTGAATAAGTTGAACTACATAAAGCTTTGACACAGGCACTCGTATGTCGTGAATAATGCAGCACCACTTTCGCGAAATCCCAACTGGGGTGTGTTGTTACACCTACAAAACACCACCAGTTTCCACGTACCAATATTTACATAACTGGCCAAGTTATTTAGATTTTCTATTTTGTTGACCGTAACAACAGTTGCCGAGACTTTCATAGAGATTCTCCAGTTCTTCTACTTGAATGCTGCCAGCTGAGGAAAAACAACACCGTGTATTTCTTTCTTCTCGCAGGCGCACAATAAAGACAAGAACATCACTTTGACTGCACAAGTTGTTCTCACTCTCTCAAAGATCTCCGATCTCACTGGGGTAAGTACAGACGCCTGGATCTATTAAAATTTAGCAGCAAAAAATTTCTTCAATCTAAGCACTATATGATGGTATTAACCAAACAAGAAAAATGTTGTAGCCACTTCAAAATGGGACAAAATTTAACTAGCTCATGACTTTTTGTCTAAATCTGACATTTGTTCGACAGAGTAATATATCTCTGCGAGTAATATATGTATACGTATAGCATTGCCTGTTTGAAGGAGCATGCTCACTTTCTTGATAAACAATTTTAATGCCTAAACTTAAAAAATTTCATGCATCTGTCTGGCTGAGCGAAAGAATTCTAGATAATGAGATGATTTCAACCACAGTTTTTATATAAACCCGACGTTTTGGGACTCATTCAGTGCTTTTATCAGGGGGTGCTTTTGTCGGTTTTGGTAGGGATGACATGTTTTTTCTTCTTTATTTTAGTAAACAGCGTATGTGGCGACAAACTACACATGCACTTCCGGTATGAATGAAGTCGAAACATCGCTCCTACTTCTGTTGAAGCACTTGCGACATCTTCATTCTGAAGCGTTGTTGGCTCGTACTTTCAGCTGCTCATCATATTTCCAGAGCCATTCATTCACTGCGGTATTGTTGTATACGCTAGGCGCAATGAAAGGCATCTAAATGCGCAGTGTTCTCGCACGTAACTATATACATCAGGCATCATCCTACAGAACGATTCTGGTGGTTTGCCAACCTCAGCGTTGCTATCGCATCTCCTAATACTGGCCAGGGGCGTAAGCCAAGGTGGGTGAAAAGGGAAAGGGGGAGGTCAAAACCCCCAATCAACATTTTTCGATTTCGTTCGTGTATATGTACACACATATACAAACACACGCATGGTAACATCCCCCTCTCCCCAAAAAAATTTTGGCTACGCCCCCGACGCTGGCAGTTGGTAAATAGGGCTGTTTGTGCAATAATCAGCGCTATGACGAGCGAACTTCAACGTTATATGCAGTCAGCATGACTGAAATTGTTGCTTTTTCTAAATTTTACTGATAATTTGAGCAAACGATAACACTACTCTGGTTTCAAATAAAGCTACATGTCTCGTAATGTGCAGGGCACTCGTGAGCGGGCCAACACAGCCAAGCGTGACGCTGTGCGCTATCTGGAGACACAACTGGCTCAAGTGAAAGACCCATATACTGTAGCCTTGACGACGTATGCACTCTTCGAGGCTGGTTCTAGTGAAGCGCAGTTCGGCTACAACCTCCTCCACTCCTTGAAGAGAGACGCCGGTATGTTTTGTCTGCATCTCAGTATTCTGAAGTGCTCACAACTGAATGAAAATGTTTTATGGTGGTTGTTGATTTAGCGGCAATTTTATTATGCATACTAGCTGTATTGGCTTATGCTCTATTCATTAATTCATGTTCTAAATTTTAGAATACTTTATTTCAAATCAAACAAAGGAATAAGTATGTCGTAAGAATATACAGAAGGAGGCCCTGCAGTCACACACAGAAATAGGACCTCCTGTACATAATAACATGGTGAATAATACCCTCAAGATGGCAATGACATAAGCTCATATGATACAAGAAAAAAAAAATCTGGAAAAAGCACTAAAAAAGCAATGAAAAAGTAAAGCAATGTGGCTAAGTCAATAAGCGAAAGAAGGATAGGGCGTGAAACATATTTAAAAACTAAAGTAAAAATGCAGTGCACAAGGTAACAAAACGCAATTAAACAAGATACAATATATGCATAAAACGATAACTTAGATCGTAGAAATAGAATACAGAAATGTGGAAAAATATAAATTTACAAGAACTATTGGGGAATAAAAAAAACTAGAGCAGACAAAAACCGGAGTTATATGAATCAAAGAAAAAGTCACAGCTTTGCCGCAAAAGTGAAGCAATGAACGCGGTAGCAACAACTTGAACAGTGGTCACACGAAGAATGACAAGCAGATCGAAACATTCCCTTCGTTTCTCACGCACAAATGACGAACGGAATGTACTGACAGGTACAGATGAAAGTGAATAGGCATCCCAGTTTTTACTTTGCTGTGTCTGAAAAGCGTGCCCTTTTCGCAAACGCAGGCTTTCTTACGAGTGCAGTGACCTTTGTGCACTCGGTAACTACAGCAGAATCGTTCCGGTAAAAGCCCAAGGTGTACGATTGTCACCATCGCGAGATAAGTGAGCGTAGGCATGAGCGTCCCCTCGTTGCGTGGCAAATTTAGGGTGGAAGATGAGAGCGTGTGCCACCGCGTCGTGACGATCTGGCGACGCACGCTCATTGTGCCATCTCGCTGGTAATGCTGAAAACACAATAGTTCCCCCCGAGATGCCCATCGCCAGCGGTATGTTTTATATATATGTATATATATATATATATATATATATATATATATATATATATATATATATATATATATATATATATATATATATATATATATATATATCTTGCTGTTTAAACGTTGAAGGAGGTGCTCTTCCGTGGCTCAGTGAGTAACGCCTCGCGCTCGTAATTCGGAGGTCGGGCGTTCGATTCCGTGCACCGGAGTTTGTTTCTGTTTTTTTCTTGCGTTTTGATATATATAGATACGTATACCTATACGGTGAATGACGGTAGTGCCCACGCTTACGTCGACGCCGACATTGGCGGCGAAATCCAGCCGAGAGTGTCCATATATTTGCTGTCACAATACAAGTTTTTTTTTCTGTTCAGAACGAAACCGATGAATATTCAGTAATTTTAAAGTGGATGGTAGCATATTCCAGAACTCAAGTGCTCAAAAATGTAACAGTGTCTTGCCATAGTTGGTGCGGACGATGGGTAAAATAGAGTTAAGTTTGCCGGTGAATCTAGTAATATTAGTGTTAACAAAGATGTCTTCGGTATTATGGATGCAGGAATGCTATTCTGTTATGCCCTATAAAAATTTTGATTATATTTATTGAGATTAAACACATTTAAAATTTTATGGGAATGCAATAACTGAATGGCGACGGAGATCCCGTAGGAGGCTCTCGTAGTCCCGTAAACACAATGAAGTCAAACGTTATTAGATGAATGGCTTGGTTTTGAATGACTTGCAGGGACATAAGGTGGCTATTGTATGAGTTGCCCCATGATTCAATGTTGTAGTTAAGATGAGAATGAACGGAAGCATCACAAAAAAATATGAGAGTAGGGAAGGAGAAGCATGTACACCGTAGGCCATTTTCTTTTTTACGTTAGAAACGTGTGGATAAAATTTAAGGTGGCAATCAAGTTCCACGCTGAAATATTTACAATGGTTAGCTGGAGAGATAATGCGATTATTGATGGAAATGTTTTCGGTAAGAGTGAACAAATGCAGATGTGAGAATGAAATGACAAATTTGGTCTTAATACCGCTATTTGTAGCTTGTTAGTTTTACACCACATACATATTCTCAAAAGTTCATCATTTACCTTATTTGTTAGTGCAGATATGCAGTAAGAGACCCGTACACTGGCCTATAATTAATTATTAAATAATTAATTAAATAACTAATTCATTTATGCCTCCAAGACTCGCGATTCACCGCTATAGCCCAGCGGCCTGCTGAGCTCGTGGTCGCGGGTTCAATCCCGCCTATCATGGCCGCTTTCGTATATACTAAATGAAGAAAAAAAAAGACTTTCTTGAACACTACTTTAGATCCACGATAACGACCTGAAATCATCGATCTTTCTGCGCAGTCTACCATTAAAGAAGTTCTCCTAATCAGATCGTGGTATTTGCATAATTAGATATATTGAGGCCAAGAGAAGAGGGGGGGTTGGTCTTGTCGAGCAAATCATTCTTACGTGCATTATCTCGGCAAAGCTGAACAATACGTTTTGAAATTATGGTCCGAAGGCAATGATCCCTACCTCGAAGAAGAACGAAAATAAATCCTATAGAGGGCTATTAGATCGGCAGATATTGTGTAACAGACAAAAGAACAAAAAAAAAGAAAGGTGACAGCAATTTCGACGTGACGTCAGATACAGTAGGGTGAGTGTGGTCTTCTTGGAGGGAAAACTGGTGCAACTACTGTGATTTCGTAACAGACACAATGTTATTTTGTATGAAATAGAGAGCCGTAGGATGTATTATGTGAGCGATGTGGTTGAAGCATCCGAAAGAGCCAAGCTACGTTTTATGATACAGCGAACAAGTTTTTTATCACGTCTTAATTAACCTAGCATGTCACCGAGATTGTCAGCAACATAGTCAACATGCATCCTACAAGCAAGATTGCCAATAAGATGGATGCCAAGATAATTGGGTAAGACGTACCAGGTTGGAGTGTGATCTCATCGAAATAATGCGTAGTACACGAAGAATTTGTAACATTTCCCTAGTGGATTTGGGTATGAAGAAAGTTTTTAATCGGGCAGGCGAAGCCTTCGCACAACTGAAACTTCTATGTCTTTAATCTGGAATCCAAATTGTTTGTTTCCTCTAAGCGAATTGACGGAACACACAATGTATCTGAAGAAATTAAATATGCCTGGAACACAGGGTGTTGCAGTATAGCCAACGTTTTCACAAGTGTTCTTGCCTTCTTCAAGACAGCAATTGCCTTCACTTCCTGCTACTTTTGCACCTGGCACTGTACATAACTCCTCATGGTGAAGCGTCGAGCAAATGAAATGTTTCGTTGCACTGGTTGCGAATGTTGATAAAAATACAGTGGTAACACACTGAAACTTTGCGCACTGACTGCTGTGTCATTTTATCTGCGGTTTGGTTGCAGAGGGAGCCATCTACTGGAGCAGCGTGCCCATTCCACCGCCCGTGATCGTGATCCAGAGCCAGCGGCCGTACCTGATTCCCCGGATGCCGCACCCGGAGGACTCGTCTGCCGTAGAAGCCACGGCGTACGCTTTGCAATCCTACCTCAAGCAGGGTGGCGTTTTCCAGGATCAGATTGTCCGCTGGCTGAACCAGATGCGTTCCACCGACTACGGCTTTATCGGCACACAGGTAAGCAGTTGGTTTTCGCCGTTTATTGCACCCACCAGTCTTGTCAGGTAGTCATTTTAAGGTACCCTGGGGTCACCACACTTGGTTGAGTATCCACATTTAGTGTGGTGACTCAACAGTTATGAATTTATGCCGCTAATCACGAAGTCGGGTATCTTCTTTTTTTCTTGGCGTTCACGTTGCTGTCGAAAGACATAGTGGAAATGGTCTTGATTTCTGCGTCGGTTAAAACTTTGGTGGCCGTAAATGAAGCTAGCACTTCCTTTCAACATTTATAACACTTGAAAGCATTGTTTTCAGCCGCTTAATTCCAATGTTAGAAAAATTTACTCGTTCACAATAAATGTGCGCACCTTCATTGGGGGGATACTGTTGCACTAGAAGAGCTAAAAAGTTCGCCTGTGAGAGCACTTGTAATAAGTTAACTGTACCTTTACACCAGTCTGCATGGTGTTGCTCTTAAAAGGGACCATTCCTCTCGTTCTACTTGCTGTCCGCCACAGAGGTACAATGGTTAATGTACAATGGCTGCAAACCCAAAGGCGGCTTGATTACGGCCGCGGCAGGCACATTTACAAGGAAACGTATAATCGCACAGTACCCGAGTGAAGGTTTGTACTGTGCGGTGTGGGTACCCGTTAAATGACACCATATATGGTGGAGCTTTCGTAAGCCTTCCATTACGATTTGCCCCAAGATCAGGTTGTTGTTTTTGGCGTGTTAAACCTGTGAGAATTGAGGCTAGCCCACCGCCTTCGCGCTTGCTTTGCCGCCTCTTTCTGCGTCCTCATGTCCCACATGACTCCCCTCCTTCATGGTCTGCCGCGCTGGGGGAGCGGGGAGTGATGTTTAACCCCTCTCACCCGGTAGTGGATGTCGACTGTGGCGTCGTGTGCGAAGTCTCTCGGGATGTTTCACGTGCGCACATCGGGACTCAAGAGTGAGAGAGAACCTTTGCAGGACAGCTTACGGTGGGCACACATTTTTTTTCCATTCATCGGCTCCTACTGTCTGGGGCTCGTCAGACTTCGCCAACGGCGCTACGCGCCCGCGGCGAATGCTCACCTTTTGTTGCCCCTTGCGAACGCTTGGCTGAAGAGCAGTGCGGTCTCTTAGTGCGTGGTTAAACTACGCCAAGCCATACCTCTCCGAAGCCAACGCGAACGCATTTTTCTCTTGCTCGAGCGACCGGGCCCTTTGTTCCGGTGTCACCGTGAATCCTTTTTGCCCACGAAGACGTGCTCGCGGCACCACTGTGTGGTACTTCTCGCCCGGGGCGTGAATAAGCCCATTTGTTTTCCTGCCGCCCCTGTAGCAACGGGCTCTGTACTGCGTTTTGGTGCTGCCGAATACAATAAAGTGCTGCGACCTTGAACAGTACCATGTTCTTGCCACGGCGATGGTTAACGCATGCCCTCCGGCTCCCTAAGACTGGACCCACGCTACTGGCCGTAATCCTTCGGGATACGTGTACACTACAAACCCCCCGTATGACTATGTTATTGTGCCCTCGCACCACAGAATACTCATAATTTACATTTGAATGCAATTAAGGTACATGACTTCTTCGGTTTTTTTTCCTTTCAACATTTTATTTTTATTTTACGTGTTTCAGGACACACTTGCCGCTCTGGAGGCCCTGACGCAGTATTCATTCCGAACGCATGTTCGAGGCATCACTGAGATGAAAGTAACTGTGGAATCTTCATCGAATCCTGGCTATCCCAGCACGTTGCGGATATCCAAAGATGACTTGGCACGCAGAAAAGTATTCGATGTGAGTATGGTGATCTTTCTTTAAAAAGATACTTGGGAATCTTTTCACAAGGAGCACCTTGGCGGTAATACTGGAACAAAAGAGCGCATGTTGTATACTATGGTTATTCATTCAAGGCTAGCGTACCTTTTGCTTATTCTTAAATTCGTATCATGTAAAGCTCACATTTCGCATAATAAACACAATGATGTGAATACTCACGTGCCGATAAGGCTAATCCTGTGTCGGTTAAACATGTGAATCTGCGGGATAAGCACTGTGCATAACTCCACTCTACAGAATCAGCAATGCGCTCACCTTTCAAGGAAAAGAAAGCAACGACGGACAGTTGGATTGCGCGGATTGTTTCACTGGGGCAGGAGGGTGGCTTAAGTTATCATAGTGACGAATTTCGCTGTTTTTGTGTTGCAGTCCTTATGATAAGTTATCTCTATTCAGATTGTGTGAACTTGCAACTGAGAGAGAAAGGCTGTTCATTTGGAGAACAAAACATTTTTGCCGGCGTCGATATGCCACTGGAGTGCTACTCTGTATAAGGATAGAGAAGAAGAATAAAAGACTTCAGAAGAGAGGGAAGAAAATAACGGTAAAAAGAACAAACAATTATGAAATGAGCAAGTGAACCTGATAAAAGTTTTTACAGTTAGGGTGTTACATTAAGTTACAGTTTTGTTATGTGAATAATTTTATAGTTAGAGCCTTTTGACTAGGCCAATTTTGGACAGATCAAATTCTGCTACAACAAAATTGTCAGGACGAGAGAAAAAAATTGTTGTCGCGGAATTACGTTGTACCAAATTTCATCTATAGATCACACAATTCGGTAAGATCTGACGATTTTGACTCGTTCATTGGTGCCTCAAGCGCACGCATTGAACTTTTGCTAACTCAGCCGTACCTGGCCGAACACTGAGTGAACCTATTTTCTCGCATATAACGCGATCAAAATATACAGAAAATTCGAGCTGAAGTTGAGGTGAAAATTATACGATAATTTCGGTTCGCAAGTTGGCTTCACGGCACGGATTCACGGCAATACAATGCGTCAATACACGGGTAGTTATTTTCTTCTTCCCGTGGTTTGCGGTCGGGGGTGCCGGTTATATGCAGGGGTGGGTTATACAGAGAAAAAAGGGATATTCAGGCAACCCTTGGAGCGTGCTGAGTGTACAGCGTCGCGAACAAGCAGTGCCAAAGCTTCGCTAAGGCGAACTGATAACTGCAACTGAAAGTAACGAGGCTCCGCACTACTGTGGCCATAAATGAACGACAGGAAAGCCGTAATGCTTTGTGTCGTTTGAGTGCTTTATTACCTTTAATATACGGCTGTGTTAGCAGCGCGCCTTCGGATCATATTCGCTATCGATGAACAAGACAATAGCGACCGCGGTATCGTGCACATCAGTTGCGGCAAACAGTAGTTCCGTTTTCAATCTGTGCGCGCTCGCCGTGCGCATGCTCGAGAACTGCGTCGTTGCTATTTTGTTCACATTGTTACGGCAATATATATTGGATTGAATCAGTGCGCGTTGACTGCACGCGTGCTTTCATGGTCGCCCATAATCGCGTTCGACAAGGCCGCATTTGAGTTCGCAGCGGTTGCGGCAGAATGCAGTTACGCTGGGACTAGGTGCGCACTGCTCGCTTGTGCACCCTCACGACGCGTGGTTGTCATTCACGATCGCATGACTAGTGACGACCAAGTATTTTTTTTATCTCGACGTCAAAAACATATGGCGAGCGTTTTGAAGATCGCCATTCTGCCGTGGTACATCAAACGTGCATGGTGGATGGGTGAGCTGTCACCAACCATCCCAACTGCAATAAAGTTAGTGGGATCTGCGTGTGGTGGCAGAAAGCATGTCTGCGGTGAAAACATCGTTGTTGCGATACGGCCGTGTGCTCTGGATGTCACGAGCCGTCGAGAAATTACCGAGTTGGCAGCAAAACTTCGCGCCAAAAAAGAAGTAGGCAAGTTCTTTTTATTTTATGGAGTAATACTCGCAAAAACTTCATTAACGCGGAAATATCCAGGAAAAGTATTAATTGTGACGAGACAATTTTCACATTGTTTTCTGTGGGTGGCTGACGGGGAACAGAAAATTTGCTAACAGTGCTGCTTGAGCAAGTCTTTTTTTGTACTCATAAATCTGTCCAAATAACCGAAAATCGTTCGTTGTGGCAGAAATTTGTAGTGGACTTCATTATAGCGTGATTTGACTGTAATTGACTAATGATCCAGCACCCAGTGCCAAAACCTTCAAAACTTGCAGCTGCAAAGTCGCTAATATTAGTTTGATGTGATGCAATCAGCGTTTACCAACATTTCAAACGTGTAGAATATGGAGTGCCGCTACCGCCTGTGCTCGTGTTATTACAATAGGTAATTTCGACGCTGATGTGCAATGCTCACGGTGACAAATAACCAGCTGTACGCTGAAACAAATTGTGAGCGCTGTGTGACTGGAGCAAAAAGTAAACAGTATTTACGCCTGTGCTCCTTTCTGCAGGTCCAACCCAACGTTTGGGGTCACTGTGATGTTCTGGCTCAGGGATCGGGCCTGTCTCTGATACAGCTAGACGTGACTTACAACGTTGATCGTGACTTTTTGTTAGTTCCGCCTGCCTACGAGGCTTTTGACCTGACGTTGGAGCCGAGGTTTTCAGGGAGGAACAGGTCACATATCAACATCCGCAGCTGTGTAAGGTGAGTGGGCCAGCTCTTATGTGGCACCTTCCTTCCCTTCTGATTTTAACGTGTATTTATTCAACATTTATGCACAGTGTAAATAAATTTATCAGTGATCATATGCAAGCAGGGATGCCATAACAAGCACAATGGGCTTCAGCCACAGAGGGGGACGAGAATCAAAAAGAAGAAATCACAGTGAATAATGACAGTGATAGAAATGTATTAGACGGTGACACAAAGCAAAGGATATAGTTTTGTTGATGAATAATATTACAGTAAGCATTCAATTTATATTTAGCATAACTAGCATAAAGTCAAGCGCACACAGCGAAACATTTCCAGACCTCAGTCGATGCCATGAACACTCGTTATCACAACTCTGACGTGATGAACGGCGTGGACAAAAAAGACGAAACACATGAGATAGGGAGGTGATACTGCTGAATAATACAATTTCAACAGCAGGTGTGCGAAAAACAAGCGCACAAGAAGGCGACTAGCCATCTAAATATTTGTAGCCATCACCATTGTGCTAAGCCGCGCAAAATGGGGACATTCCCACGCAGTAGAGGAGAAACGCGCTTACCTTCATGGAGGGTTTGAGATCACGTTATAATTTATACCCAGCAAAACCACCTGCGTGATGCCAAATTTCAGAGAATGCTCATGCGATTTCGTTTCCGTAGCTTCTCTATACTATAAATTTATCGGAATGCGCGCGATATGTTGACCATACCGGGACCATACTATCAACCTATTTTTTAACCCTGAGAGAGCGTGCTTGTTCATTGCTGTGGGACCAAATGAATTTAATTATACTGTGTCACAAGCTTTTCCATGTAAACTGGGTGTACATTGAATTCTGTCGTTTTTTTTACTTATAGGTGGACGATGACCAATATGAGTGCGGAGAGTGGTGCAGCTGTGCTGGAGCTGGTCATTCCTACGGGTTATGCTAACTACAGGCCGCATCTAGACAACTATGTCAAGTCAGGCGAAGTCCCTCGACTAAGCATGGCCAAAGTGCTACCCAGGACAGCAGTGTTCATGTTTGAACACGTAAGTTGATGCGCTTGACTGAAACTTATTTATTAGGGTTCGTTAATGAATAAGGAAGTTGTCTGTACGTGCAGGCACACAGTAGAAGAAAAACTGCTGGGGAGGGCGTAAATCAATAATGTAATCAAGTGAATAGCTTCCACATCTACCCAATGCTATACGTCGTATTCGTCACTAAAGCGTTAATAATAATAAATTTACAAGAAGAAAGTTAAGCTATTTTGTTCAAATATCTTTACTTGCTACCTTTATTTGTATACGGTCGGAAAAGAGATAGTTCAAGCTCTTATAGGTTTGAACGATTGCAGCTTACAAGCGAATGGACCTGCGTCAACTTTCTCATCCAACGGTGGTATCCTGTTGCCAACTCGACACGGTACCTGAAGGCCAAGGTCTACGAGTACAATTTTCCAGGCAAGTGTGACAATTGTGTAATACCTTGAAAATTCTGGCGAGACCTGCGAAATTTAGGATTCTTTGTTCCGCTCAGCTAGAAAAAGCACTTCTGTCCCATCATCGTGCTAAGTTATTCAGCTGTAAGCAAAAAAAGTTCATACTCATACCTCTCTTTTGGCCACTAATAATTTCAGTCACACTAACAAGGGCTCATATTTTATGTGTCTTGAGTTTGTACAACGCGTTAATTGGGTCGCGTGCCCTATAGCCCTGGTTTGTTTTTATAGGGCGGCGAATGACCACGCCGCGGCCTGTCGTGTCTGAGGGTGCCATGCTATTAAGACACCATACTCGCTTCTCTTCGCTATCCGTAAACTGTGAGCATTGCTAGTGGTCCTGTATTAAACTATCATTTAGCCGAAACGATCGTTTTACATCGTCAACCGGTTCGTTTAAGCATATTGGTAGATCAGTGAAGCCTGCAAAGCTGCCTTCTCCACAATAATTTTTACTATGTGGAAAAGCTTGCTTCACGTTTCGGATATACTTATCTGTTCTTGTAGCTCAAAATCTCCGGATCATGACAGTAAGCATTGTTGAAGCTAGAATATTGGTAATATTAAATCAATGCACACACTGATACTTAAGATGGGTCATCCCAAATTTCAAACTATCTGAAATAATTGCACTGTGAAGGTAGGACTGAATACAGCCTGGTGCCTGCGTTTACAAATCAAGTAAGCCACCTCACTGTGTTCAGTTCACGCACTGCATACATGATTTATAGCTGAAGCATATCATACTGCGCATTTATTTTGCTGCGTACTGAATGCCTACTAGAATTGCAGCGCCACTATGATGGCATTACAAACAGGGCGTACAGAGGGAGGAGGAGTGAATACGGCCCGTAGAATAATTCAAAATTCGTAAAAAAAGTGTTATGGTGCATGTCGGGCATACACCTGATATCCCCGTAGTTTGTTTTGAGCAAAAGTTGTTTCATATTTATTACGACCTCATTAATGTGTTATCGAATGCTCTCGAACGTGGCGTTATGGCATGGCGAAGGAACGTTTAAAATGCTGTTGATGTCTACCCCTCAATTTTACTGTAAAAGATATGTTTCTTACACGACATTCCAATACAACACATAACATATGATGTAACAGCTGTTTCATCAGTCTCTCAAACGCTACCTTACGAAACGAGCGCACTTCTGGCAACACACTATTATAATGTTTTTTTCTTCTCTTTCTAACACGCTTGCTGCATTTCAAAATTGTGTAGGCATGTTCCGTTATCTGTCTTTACTATTAAAATTGATAGCATCTATTTACGGTACCCTTTACGGTACCCTGCTTGAGTGCAGTTTATCCCAAGGTTAAATGGTTGAAATCAGGCGCTAGCTTGTTCTCGTTTATTTCAATTTTCAGAAAACTACAAGGAGAAAATATGGGAAAACTACGACCTCTACGTGCTGAGCATCTGCGAAGTGTGTGGTTCCTACCAGTGCCCATACTGCCCGCACTTCAGTGCTGCCAGTGTTCCCGCACTTAGCTGGACACTGCTAATAGTGGCAGTACTTCTCCTGTGCCAGGAACTTTTGTGTGCTAGAAGGAACTGCTGATGAGTGTTTGACTCTCTACAATGAGTGCGTGTAAGCGTGAATGATTGCAACACCATCTTAAGTCCTGGACTTCATGCACGTGTGGTGTACTGTGGTGAATTTTATTTTGAAGCATATATTTGTCCGGCGTGGTTTGACTGGGTGGACACGAAAGGTGGTGAACATGTTTGGGACTGCGCCGATCGCTTAGCGCTGAGGCATTGGTGTTTGGCGCACTTCCTGTGCAAAAGGTGGGTGCCACGATGGTTGTTCCGAATGGTTGTGGCTTAATAAGTATTGATTTGTTACGTGAGGATCCGCCTGGCTGCATATATACTATAAATTCACTGAACCTCGTTGCGATAATTCAAAGCACGAAAATCTGGTCGTGTATCACGAGTTGTATTTAACGTGAAGACATCAAAATACAGTGCCATGCGATTTTACTTAGGGGTTACATGTACAAACGCTGCCACAAAATATGTTACACAAAATTGTTTCAAAAGACAACTTACGGTGCCCACTTGCGGGCTCATAAACATTTTGTCGTGGAGATATCTTCATACGTTTTTTTAGCTCAAGGCATGAAGTGATACTTTTCAGCTAGCGTCAGAGGGCATATGGAGGTAGTCGTCATCCATGGCGTTGTCATTAAGGCATTAACACTTCTCAGTGTCAACTCACACTTCAGTGATGAGATTATGTGTAATGAGCTGAAAAGTTGAATACTATGCTTCAAGTGGTTTTGTAACTTGGAAGTGGAAACAGCCGGCTTCATAACATCATATTCAGGTGTGAAAGAGGCGTCATAATAGACGTGTGACGTGTTTTTTTGTCTTGTAGTAATCACATACAAAAGCATACAGCACCCACCTAATCATGTTCACAGTACGACATCTTTGTAAAGAGCCCAATATTAACCAGGAGCATGAATATAACAATGACAATACAACAGATTTATCTTTGTACAACTATATATGTCGATAAAACATCAATGTCTAAAACTGCCGAAAAGGACCTGTATTTGAAAGATAGTTTGTAAGCTACCTAAAGCGAGTACTGGCAAATAGTGGTGGGGAAGTTGCTATAAGTTAAAGCGATTGGCAAGAGAGTCCTCAAGAAGAAGGAGCTTCGTGAATTCGAACCTACCGAAAAAACACTAAAGGGAGTAAGCGAAACATCAGTAGTGTGTCAAGTTCGCTACTGCGCGAAATGGTGGCACCAGTGAGACTTCTGTGCTTATATTTTTTTTTCTGTCGATCTTGATGCACAAACACGGGAGCCCTGATTTACATGACCATTTGCTTGCAACAATTGTTTGAGAGAACAAACTCCGTCCCACTGCTAATGACCTATACTATCTGCTGTTATATTTTTAGCAAATGTGTGTGATAATATGTATTCTAATAGTATACCGTATAAAATATGCTAATTGTGTAATATGGCAAAGAGTTCTTGTTTAAAAAACTTATCTTCGAATTCACGTGTCCACGACCACAATGTGGCGCGAAAAAAGGCAGATAATGACGTTTACCTAATATACCCTGTCAATGGGTCAATAACACCTACTCATGTTATCAATAGATAGCATGCGTGATGAGCATACCATCTATGACGTCATTTGCAGTTATTTTCATTCCTGTGCCGCGATATGAAAAACAGGAAACTGAATCGTACTGCTGGCCGTATCTCTCAAAGCAACGCGGACATTGATTGATATATGACGTTTAACATCCCAAAACCATCATACGATTATGAGAGACGCCGTAGTGGAGGGTTCCGGAAATTTCGACCCCCTGGAGTTCTTCAATGTGCACCCAAGGCAACGTGGACAATCTTCATTATTAATATAAGGCGGAGTGTGCAAGTTCTTCTGTAAAGCGTGACCTAATTACACAAAAATTCCTAGAAAATATGTGCGAAAAGTGGAGTGTTCACTGATTAACTGATCGATAGTGAGCGCCAGGTTGCACGAGCCACGCGAACAGCTCATATGCTGCAAGACATTGCGGCGTAAAGGCGTAAACGTTTCAACTGTTCTATAAATGTCTAACAATTTTATATCGATCATTAGGTATAAACCTTAAAAATAGAGTGGTAGGCTGTGGACTGTGCGCCAGCAGATGTAGATGCTACCTAGCGGTTCACTGGGTTTTTTATATTGTTACCAATCTTGTCTCACTCAAGGAAACCTTCCGCAGAACTGCTCGTCAAGCTAGGACAAAAAGAAAAACTGCTCCAACCCAACCTCTTCGTCCTCTTCCACACGAAAACCACGCGAATTCATGCGGCATTAAAAAGCGGCTCAATCCCAACCTCTTCGTCCTCTTCCACACGAAAACCACGCGAATTCATGCGGCATTAGTCCCCCCTTTTAAAAAGCATCGACTCGATGCTTCTAAATAAAAAGAAGAAGAAAAAAAAAAACCCATAATTAGAACACGCGTTGACGCAGAGAATGACAAAGTGAGTGCCAGGGAAAACAAAGAGGGCGCACAAGCACTTGGACCATGCGCGAACACAACAGCACCAGTGGAAGAGTCAAGAAAAAAAAAAAACACCACATGAGATCACTGTCACGTTTGCGAAGTAACTCGCAAGCACAGAGACTATTGTGTGTAGTACGGCTTGAGTCGTACGACATGCACAGTTTCGGGCCGATGTTGTCGACGTGACGACACTGTGCCGTCCGGAAGTACTTCGTATGTAAGGTCACTCACACGTCGGATAACCTTGTATGGTCCGAAATAACGGCTCAGAAGCTTTTCAGACAAGCCTGGTCGTCGGACAGGAGTCCACACCCACACTCGTTCACCCGGGTGGTATGCGACGTTTCGACGGCGAAGGTTGTAACGTCGTGCATCTGCGTCTTGTTGGTGACCGATGTTCACGCGAGCCAGTTGACGAGCCTCTTCGGCGTACTGCGTGTATTGCTCGGCTTCTGGAGAAAGAGCATCGCTATTATCGTACGGCAGCATAGCGTCAAGCATCGTTTGTACGTTGCGTCCATAAACAAGGTGGAAAGGTGAAAATCGGGTTGTTTCCTGCATTGCCGTATTGTATGCGAACGTGACGTATGGGAGGATATCGTCCCAGGTTTTGTGCTGCACGTCCACGTACATTGACAGCATGTCCGCTATGGTCTTGTTGAGCCTTTCCGTCAGTCCATTACTTTGTGGGTGGTAAGCCGTTGTTTTTCGGTGACTCGTGCAGCTCAGTCTGAAAATGTCCTCTAGCATTTGTGCCGTAAATGATGTTCCTCTATCCGTAATCACACATGACGGCGCGCCGTGCCGGAGGACGATGTGCTGCACGAAGAACTTCGCCACTTCAGACGCCGTGCCGCGGGGTAATGCCTTTGTCTCAGCATACCGGGTCAAGTAATCGGTTGCCACTATAATCCATTTGTTACCAGTGGCCGACAAAGGGAAGGGTCCTAGAAGGTCCATTCCCACAAGGTCGAAAGGTGTCCGTGGTGGTGTAATAGGGTGGAGAAGGCCCGCAGGTTTCACGGGTGGCGTCTTGCGACGCTGGCACTCGCGGCAGCCTTGCACGTAGCGGTGTACACTGGTCGAAAGTCGTGGCCAATAGTACTGCTGGCGCACTCTGGCGAGAGTCCGCGAGTAGCCCAAGTGTCCCGACGTGGGCTCGTCATGGCACGCGAGGAGGATGTCATCCCGCATGTCGGCTGGTACAACGAGGAGGAAGGCTTTGTTGCTACCTCGAGCATTTTTCTTGTAAAGAATGCCCCTCCTTAGACAAAAGGATGACAATTCGCGAGCGATGCGCCGAGGAGTGTGAGAATTTCGGCCTTCTAAGGAATCAATAATAGGGCGCAATTCCTGATCGGCTCTCTGTCTAGACATAAAGTCAGAATCACTGAGGGCTCCGAGAAAACCATCAGCATATTCCGAGTCCATATCAGGATGTCCCACGGGTGCTCGAGAAAGTGCGTCGGCATCTTCGTGCTTGCGCCCAGACCTATACACAATCATGATGTCAAACTCTTGCAAGCGCAAACTCCACCGAGCGAGACGACCAGACGGGTCACGGAGATTGGCCAGCCAACACAGCGAATGGTGATCGGTCACCACCTTGAAGGGACGGCCGTAGAGGTAAGGTCGAAACTTTGCCGTTGCCCACACGACTGCGAGGCATTCCTTCTCTGAAGTGGAGTAGTTGGCCTCGGCTCGAGAGAGAGTACGACTGGCGTAAGCTATGACATGTTCTACGCCGTTGTGCCGTTGTACAAGGACAGCGCCAAGTCCGACGTTGCTTGCATCCGTGTGAACTTCGGTATCAGCGTCCTCATCAAAATGCGCAAGAACAGGTGCCTCTTGCATTCGCTGCCGTAACTCTGTGAAAGCTGCTTCTTGCTCTGTAGTCCAGGCAAACGGTACATCATCTCGGGTGAGTCGCGTGAGCGGTTCGGCTATCGTCGAGAAGTTGGTAATGAATCGGCGATAATAAGCACACAAGCCGAGAAAACGCCGTACCGCTTTTTTGTCTGACGGCACAGGAAAGGTGGCGACTGCTGCAGTTTTTTTCTGGGTCAGGCCGCACTCCATCCGCACTCACAACATGTCCCAGAAATTTCAGCTCATCGTAGCCGAAATGGCACTTCTGGGGTTTTAGCGTGAGTTCGGCCGAACGAATAGCTTCCAGAACCATTCTTAGACGCTTCAGATGTTCTTCGAAACTCTCGGCAAAGATGACCACATCATCAAGGTATACAAGGCAGCTTTGCCACTTCAAGCCAGCGAGGACGGTATCCATCATTCGCTGGAATGTTGCGGGAGCCGAACAGAGGCCGAAAGGAAGAACTCTGAATTCATAAAGCCCATCGGGAGTTACAAACGCTGTCTTCTCTCTGTCTCGCTCATCGACCTCTATCTGCCAATAGCCGCTCTTCAAATCTATCGATGAAAAATACTTCGCGTGTCGTAGCCTGTCGAGAGAATCATCAACCCGTGGAAGCGGGTAGACGTCTTTTTTGGTGACGCTATTGAGTTTCCTGTAGTCAACACAGAATCGCAGCGTTCCGTCTTTCTTCTTTACTAGAACGACTGGCGAGGACCACGGGCTGCTCGACGGTTGTATCACCCCGTCGTCAAGCATCTCCTTTACCTGCGTCTGTATAGTCTCGCGTTCTTTAGCCGAAACACGGTAAGGTTGCTGGCGGATTGGGCGAACATCATCGTCGGTAATAATTCGGTGCTTTATGAGGGGTGTTTGACCGACTCTAGATGAAGAGGCGAAGCAAGATTTAAATTCCTTCAGCAGGGTATGCAGTGCGGCCTTCTTCTCGTCCGAAAGCTTCGAACTGACGTCGATGTGGTCCAGAAACTTATCTCCATCAACCATTTCCTCGGATGCGAAGCACTCGGTGACATCCGCTACACGGTCTCCGAAGGCCACGGTGGTGCCGCGGAAAAGATGTCGGTGCTCGAAGTTAAAATTTGTGACGAGTATCTGCGACCGTCCGTCACGCACACGCAGAATGCTTCGCACTGCACACACACCTTGAAGCAGTAAAAGGGATACGTTGCTCTCGGCGACCACGTCACCGTCTTGGAGGTCTTCACAGGTGACTTCTACGAAAGCAGTCGCTCGGGGAGGCAACGTCACGCTTTCGTCGGCAACACGCAGCGCAGGTCTACGACAGCTATCAGCGCCTCGATCGGTTGCAAGTTGCGTCGAGAAAGTCACCATTCGCTCGCGGAGATTTATGATCGCGCCATTCTCTCGAAGGAAGTCCATTCCAAGGATGAGCTGACGAGAACAGTCGCGTAGTACGAGGCAGGTTACCACAAACGTTGACTCGCGTATTTCCACTCTTGCGGTACAGCGACCCAATGGAGTAATAACGTGGCCTCCAGCAGTGCGAATACGCGTCCCATTCCAAGGTGTCATCACTTTCTTAAGACTGGTTGCCAATTTTCCGCTCATAATAGAATAATCTGCACCTGTGTCCACCAATGCGCTGACCTGAAGACCGTCTATCAGCACGGGAATGTCGAGTGAGACTCGGCCACTGGGTTCAGACGCACAATCCGGCATTTCTCTCGCACTGCACTCAGACGTCAATTCAATGTCTGCAGCGTTTTGTGGAAGCGTCGATAGGAGGTCTTCCGCACTTTTAGTCCCAGCGACCTCGCCCCCGAAGGTCGCTGCCTTCAGTTTTCCCGACGAGGGCTTGGTGAACGTCCCCGTGCCATCGTACTGAGACGTGGTCCAATAGCTGCGGGTCGTCGTGGAGATGGAGACCGCGATTGACGCCGTGGGAAAGGCAGACGTTGCTGCGCGAGGTAGTCCTCAATTTCTCTTGGCCTCTGACCAACTAGGGGACGAGGCGAATGAATAGAGAAACCGCGCAGTCCAAGTTGTCGGTATGGACATTCCCGGTAGATGTGACCGGCTTCACCGCAATGGAAGCAGAGGGGTCTTCTATCCGACGTACGCCAAATATCGGACTTCCGCGGAGGGGCACGGCGACCGTCGATGTCCAAACCAGCATGCGCAGATTGAATTGAAACTGGCGGCATCGTCTGGATTGGGACTGCAGGGCTTGAGACCGGCATGGAAGTGCGCAGAGCTTCGGCATATGTGCGGTTCCCAACATCAGTGGACGCAGGAGGTGGTTCTAGATTTGTAACCGTTGGTTGAGGGCGACGGCTGTGAAGCACCTGCTGGACCTCGTCCCGAATAATATTGGTGATGCTGCTTACCTCCGGCTGTCTCGCCCCGTGTAGTTTCGCGATTTCCTCGCGGACGACGGAGCGGACGATTTCGCGAATCCACTCAATGCTGTTGCTCCCGAAGCTGGCGGAAAATTCAGTAGGTGATGCAGAATTCACTTGCCGGTTGAGTAGGGCTGACCGCTGATGAAGTACCCTCTCCATCGTAGTGGCTTCGGTCAGGAATTCTGCTACACTCTTCGGAGGACTCCGCACTAGACCAGCAAAAAGCTGCTCCTTCACGCCTCGCATCAGATAGCGTAGCTTTTTTTCTTCTGGCATTGCCGGATCCGCTCGCCTGAAAAGCTGCGTCATGTCCTCCACGTACATGGTGACGGTCTCATTAGGCATCTGGATGCGTGAATGCAATGCACGTTCAGCACGATCGCGGCGGTCGGGGCTCCGGTAGGTCTCCAAGA